CTCTCTCTGTTCTGCTCTTGTCCTTCTAGACCTGTCTGCTGCCTTTGATACTGTGAACCATCAGATCCTCCTCTCCACCCTCTCCGAGCTGGGCATCTCCGGCGCGGCTGACTCCTGGATTGCGTCCTACCTGACCGGTCGCTCCTACCAAGTGGCGTGGCGAGAAGCTGTCTCCGCACCACGTGCTCTCACCACTGGTGTCCCCCAGGGCTCAGTTCTAGGCCCTCTCCTATTCTCCCTATACACCAAGTCACTTGGCTCTGTCATATCCTCACATGGCCTCTCCTATCATTGCTACGCTGACGACACAACTAATCTTCTCCTTTCCCCCTTCTGATAACCAGGTGGCGAATCGCATCTCTGCATGTCTGGCAGACATATCAGTATGGATGACGGATCACCACCTCAAGCTGAACCTTGGCAAGACGGAGCTGCTCTTCCTCCCGGGGAAGGACTGCCCGTTCCATGATCTCGCCATCACGGTTGACAACTCCGTTGTGTCCTCCTCCCAGAGTGCGAAGAGCCTTGGCGTGACCCTGGACAACACCCTGTTGTTCTCCGCTAACATCAAGGCGGTGACCCGATCCTGCAGGTTCATGCTCTACAACATTCGGAGAGTACGACCCTGCCTTACACAGGAAGCGGCACAGGTCCTAATCCAGGCACTTGTCATCTCCCGTCTGGTTTACTGCAACTCGCTGTTGGCTGGGCTCCCTGCCTGTGCCATTAAACCCCTACAACTCATCCAGAATGCCGCAGCCCGTCTGGTGTTCAACCTTCCCAAGTTCTCTCACGTCACCCCGCTCCTCCGCACACTCCACTGGCTTCCAGTTGAAGCTCGCATCTGTTACAAGACCATGGTGCTTGCCTATGGAGCTGTGAGGGGAACGGCACCTCTGTACCTTCAGGCTCTGATCAGTCCCTACACCCAAACGAGGGCATTGCGTTCATCCACCTCTGGCCTGCTGGCTCCCCTTCCTCTGCGGAAGCATAGTTCCCGCTCAGCCCAGTCAAAACTGTTCGCTGCTCTGGCACCCCAATGGTGGAACAAGCTCCCTCACGACGCCAGGACAGCGGAGTCACTCACCACCTTCCAGAGACATTTGAAACCCCACCTCTAAGGAATACCTGGGATAGGATAAAGTAATCCTTCTGATCCTTTGCCAATTATGCAAATTAGGTGATGACATCATTTAGCAACTACTAGCGACTTTTAGGACAGCCAATAGTTACTTTCCTTACTGAGTTGGCAACACTGCTTGAGAGGATCTGCAGAGAAAAATGGGAGAAACTCCCCAAATACAGGTGTGCCAAGCTTGTAGCGTCATACCCAAGAAGACTTGAGGCTGTAATCACTGACAAAGGTGCTTCAACAAAGTACTGAGTAAAGGGTCTGAATACTTATGTAAATGTATTTCAGTTTTTAATACATTTGCAACAATTTCTAAAAACCTGTTTTTGCTTTGTCATTATGGGGTATAAGTCTGTTCCATGTGCACTATTTCTACCTTCCCCATGCTTAAGTTTTGTTTTTGCATCTTTTACTTTCGGTTTTGAACACCAGCTTCAAACAGCGGTTTAGAAGGTACAATGACTCTACTTGCTTGTTTTGTCACAAACTGAAATTAGCCTTCCCATCCAGCCTACTCTCGTTTTTAACTTAAGTAACCATACCAAACATAACATATCACACTAATTTGGACCTCTCGGATTTAACTTTACTATGTTACATATAGTCTATGAGACCAAGCTGTATTATTACGTGTTTTCCTTTTCTATTATTTATCAATGTTCTTTCTCTGCATTGTTGGGAAGGGCCCCTAAGTAAGCATTTCACTGTTAGTCGACACCTGTTGTTTACGAAGCATTGTACGCGTGTTGTTTTATGCCACTATAGCGTAGCCTATACTTTTTAGAAAATGGTTCTGGAAATGTATACTCGTGACTTCAACTAGCTTCACCTCATGCTTTGGGCGTGGATTCTGATACTCGAGACAGACACTGGAAAAGTAAACATTCGTCCAATTTGTGATTTGCTTAAATAGAAAACAAAACAGCTAACTAGCGGTCATTTGGTAGGTAGGTATGGAAAACCCTTGAAACGTAATAAACACCATTTTGAACCCAAGTCATAGTCCAAAATGTAGCCCATCTTTAAATGCCATGGCAGTAAATGCTTGCATTGTTGGCCTTTCAAAGGCCAGGCAGCTAGCTAGATATCTAGTTAGCTAAAGTTACACTTTTAGTTTATTTAAGTTGAGAAGCAATCAAGACAAACCTGTATGCAAGGGTCATGCATTCGAAAAGTTTTGTTAAGGACGCGTCAATCGAGAGATGTGATGTGCTGGTCTTCCCGAAGTGATACGTCCGACAGGTTTGTTTGTTGACTGTGTCGAAGTCGTAACCTTTTTTTGGTGGGTGTTCAATGTGCGGCGAGGACACCATGAAATGACCACTGTGGATTATCTGTGACTCTCGTCCATCCGATTTCTTAATCCCCAGATGAGACTCCTCCGTGTCCGAGTCATCGTCCTGCTCCTGCTTTATACTCACTATGGGACGTCGGTATTGTCTTAGCTCCCTGGTGGTAGCCATGTCTTAGCAAGCTAGCTAGTTGTTCTTCTGGACTTATTTGCTAGCCGTTCTCATAGCTAGCGAGTAAAAACAAAGAAAAATGAATACTATTTATGCATGATACTTTGCTCGTTCGAAGACATTTTCCCGTGTCGCTTGACCCTTTATTGAGATATACACGTTGAATTGTTGGCAGACAGTCTTTGCAGTATATCCTCTTTTGCTGGTAGGCTAGCATCAGCTAACAAAAGTGTTGCTGGTGTCGAAGGATTTCCAGTGAAGGGACCAATCAAAGAGGGACCAACTGTTGCTCTGTCATGTCTGCAAACGTGATTGGATGGAGTCACAGAAATACCCTCCACTCGAGAGCAGCAGGCTCAAAATAACTAGCCTGGTTGCCGGTCTCTGTTCAACTAATCTAACGTAGCAGGCGTAAATAGCTAGCTATTTAATTCCACTCCATGTCTTTGGCAGACACGGAATACAAGGAATAGAACGTTACAGAGACTGGTACCCAGACTAGGAGTAGTCTACCGTGGAGTTGTAATGCAACAGTATCTGACTTTCGTTGTTTCTAAATTAAATATTTTCAGGTGTAATCCTTATTGCTTTCAGAAATGGCTTTATGGACATAGCTCAAGACTTGTTTCATGTATGTACATCAGGGATAATCAACTAAATTCAGCCGCGTGCCGATTTTTTTCTTGCGCAGATGGTCGTGGGGCCGGAACATAATTACTAATACTTTGTTTACTGCAACCGATATAATATTTGACTAAAACAATCATTTGTATACGATCACGTGTCTCTATTTCCAAAATGAAAATCACTTGGTGTTTTTACAGTCAGGTCCAGCAATGAAAATACAGTGCATTCGAAAAGTATTCAGGCCCCTTGACTTTTTCCACATTGTTACCTTAGCCTTTTTCTAAAATGGATTAAATAGTGTTATCCCCCTCATCAATCTACACACAATACCCCATAGCGACAAAGCAAAAACAGGTTTTTAGAAATGTGTGGTATTGAGGGGGGGAAATCATTTAATCAATTTTAGAATATGGCTTTAACGTAACAACATGTGGAAAAAGTCAAGGGTCTGAATACTTTCAGAATGCACTGTATAAACATTTTTGGTTTAGAAAACTTGTGGGGCCAAATAAAATCACCTGCGGGGCAAATTCGGCCCGCCAGTTGGGGAACCCTGGTGTACATGGTAACAGACTTCTTATCGCTATATGCCTGCCTATGCTCTGCATTGTAGCTGTGTCTGTGTAACAGATTTAAACATCTTTTTACATTATAGAATCAATTAGTATTTGTGGAATAAATAGGCTAGTTAGCTAAAACCCACTCAAATGTATGTACAATAAAATAAGAATAAACATAATAGTCAACATTTGACTTTCTGTAGCCAGGCCATAATTGAAAAAGGCCTTTTTAGTTGGGCAAAGGCTGACGAGGAAACAACTATTTAGGCTACTTACATTTGGCAAATAAAAGGTTATACTTATTGGCAGGTAGCTTAGTGGTTAAGAGCGTTGTGCCAGTAACCAAAAGGTCGCTGGTTCTAATCCCCGAGCCGATTAGGTGAAAAATCTGTCGATGTGGCCTTGAGCAAGGCACTTAACCCTAATTGCTCATGAGCGTCTGCTAAATGACTCAAATGTAATGTAAATGTTTAATCATCTATACATAGTGTTGCCAGCACTGCTGGACTCCAGTGAGGTATTCAAAGAGCCATCTATAACCAAACAGCCTACATATGCACTGAAAAATGCTTTACAGGTTAACAAAAACTGGGCAAAGGGCACTTGATATACCAGAGTGAAGTATACAGACTATTTAAAACACACATTTTTCATTATTCTGGTAATTCAAGGTACACAACCAATCTGGTAGCAGGACTATGCTACAAGGTAGAGTTTCCGTAAGAGGAGAAAAGGAAGTAGATATGCGACTGACTGAGTGCCACTAAATATGTAGGTGTTGTCTTTAGTTAAATTAAATAAATGTTTTACTGTCAAAGTAATAAACAGTTAGAACAGCAGCAGAACCAAACCAATAATAACAGGATTCAAACAGTGTGTTGACCCGCCTGAACAAAAACAACAAAAGTGACTAAAATCAAAATATGTACATATACTTTGGAGGAGAAGGAAAACAATAGCGGGTGTAAGTGGCAAAATGAAAGATTTCACTGCAGTTTGTCGACCCTGTCCTATCCAGTTGATCCTGGTTTAGTTTAAGTTTTAGTCTTTTTTTTGGGGGGGGGGGGGGGTTGTAGAGGTGGGTTGTAGAGGTGGGTGCTGGACTCCTCTTGGACCAATTCAGAAGAATAAAGAAGTGAAGACACAGGAGGGGCTATGACACCAGGAGGGTTGAGGACATGGAAACAGATCAAGGAATTGGTGATGGTAAAAGATAAGTTAGCTGGTTTTGAGGAAATCTGAGGGAGTTTCCAACTTCCCCTTCTTATTGGGAGGAGTACAATCTTCAGATTCCTGCACAAATAAAACAATATTTCAGAAAACATTTAAGCTTGTCATATTAAAATACTGGGTCTCAAACGAGTTTCATTATACTGCATCAGTCAAATTTCTAATTGACTAAAACATACAGTTAACTGCCAAAATAAAGGAAACACCAACATAGTGTCTTAATAGGGTGTTGGGCCACCACGAGCTGCCAGCACAGCTTCAATGTGCCTTAGCGTAGATTCTACAAGTGTCTGGAACTCAATTGGAGGCATGCGACACCATTCCTCCACAAGAAATACCATCATCTGGTGTTTGTTGATGGTGGTGGAAAATGCAGTCTCAGGCACCTCTCCAGAATCTCCCATAAGTGTTCAATTGGGTTGAGCTCTGGTGACTGAGACACACACACACACACACACACACACTTTAAATCCCCTATGCTCATTTGAGACCCCTCTTTCAAAGTCACAGACCTCTTCTAGTCATGGTAACAACATAATGGGCAACTGGGCATTTTTATACATGACCCTAAGCATGATGGGATGTTAATTGCTTAACTAACTCAGGAAGCACTTTCTTTCAATATACTTTACATCCCTCATTTACTCATTTGTTTCCTTTATTTTGGCAGTTAGTGCATTTGGAAAGTATTCAGACCCCTTGACTTTTTTCAAATTTCGTTACATTACAGCCTTATTCTAAAATGGATTAAATTGTCGTGTCCCCCCCCCCCCCCCCCCCATCAATTAACACACAATACCCCATAATGACAAAGCAAAAACAGGTTTAGACATTTTTGCAAATGTGAAAAAAAAAAAAAATTACAGCCTCAAGTCTTCTTGGGTATGACGCTACAAGCTTGACACACCTGTATTTGGGGAGTTTCTCCCATTCTTCTCTGCAGATCCTCTCAAGCTCTGTCAGGTTGGATGGGGAGCATCGCTGCACAGCTATTTTCAGGTCTCTCCAGAGATGTTCGGGCTCTGGCTGGGCCACTCAAGGACATTCAGAGACTTGTCCCGAAGCCACTCCTGCGTTGTCTTGGCTGTGTGCTTAGGGTCGTTGTCCTGTTGGAAGGTGAACCTTCGCCCCAGTCTGAGGTCCTGAGCACTCTGGAGCAGGTTTTCATCAAGGATCTCTGTACTTTGCGCCATTAATCTTTCCCCGATCCTGACTAGTCTCCCAGTCCCTGCCACTGAAAAACATAACCACAGCATGATGCTGCCACCACCATGCTTCACCGTAGGGATGGTGCCAGGTTTCCTCCAGACGTGACGCTTGGCATTCAGGCCAAAGAGTTCAATCTTGGTTTCATCAGACCAGAGAATCTTGTTTCTCATGGTCTGAGAGTCCTTTAGGTGCCTTTAGGCAAACTCCAAGTGGGCATTTATGTGCCTTTTACTGAGGAGTGGCTTCCGTCTGGCCACTCTACCATAAAGGCCTAATTGGTGGAGTGCTGCAGAGATGGTTGTTCTTCTGGAAGGTTCGCCCATCTCCACAGAGGAACTCTGGAGCTCTGTGAGTGACCATCACCTCCCTGACCAAGGCCCTTCTCCCCTGATTGCTCAGTTTGGCCAGGCGGCCAGCTCTATGAAGAGTCTTGGTGGTTCCACATTTCTTCCATTTAAGAATGATGGAGGCCACTGTGTTCTTGGGGACCTTCAATGCTGCAGACATTTTTTGGTACCCTTCCCCAGATCTGTGCCTCGACACAATCCTGTCTCGGCGCTCTACGGACAATTCCTTCGACCTCATGGCTTGGTTTTTGCTCCAACATGCACTGTCAACTGTGGGACCTTATATAGACAGGTGTGTGCCTTCCCAAATCATGTCCAATCAATTGAATGTACCACAGGTGGGCTCCAATCAGTTGTAGAAACATCAAGGATAATTTTTTATACATTTGCAAAAAACCTGTTTTCGCTTTGTCATTATGGGGTATTGTGTGTAGATTGATGAGGACATTTTTATTATTAAATCCATTTTAGAATAAAGCTGTACTGTAACAAAATGTGAAAAAAGTAAAGGGGTCTGAATACTTTCCCAATGCACTGTACCTGTACAAAGACATTCAAGTCTTGGATGGTGGTGGAGGGGAGCACCTGAGAATCTTGAGGAGTGTCTGAGGATGGTTCATTCCTTCCTGTGGACCTTCGGTCTCTCTTGGGTGTGCTTGTGTTTGAAAATGCTGAGGGGTGAACATTTCCTGCAATACCAGAAAGTCTGCCTCAGTGCATAACCATGGGAGACAATATGCTTTAAGCAAATAGAATAAGAAAATGACAAGACAGTGTTTGTATACTATTCCTACTTCTTCTGTAACAGTTCTGATTAAAAGAGAACATCATTCTAACAAGGGGCAACTGCAAGTGAATTTGCTGTGTTATTCATTTCTTTACTTTCCACAATAGTTTAAACTTCAGAGTCGGCATCAGTGCCCTTGCTTGGTGTGTATTATCGCAGGACTTGGTAGACAAGGTCTGTTTGTGAAATGACCCAGGAAGATTTATTAACCTGTATTTTCTCCAAAATGACATTACCAATTCTGGGTGATGACACAAATACCCTATTGTAGCTGACTTCAAAGTCTACACTACAGCACCATCTTGTGGCAAGTAAGACAATGCGGAGTCACATCCATGTCCAGAACAAGGGGTTGATATTGGAAAATACTTTTCTCAAGGGTGTTTAGCTTGTGACCTGGTGAAAACTGCAGCAATGACAAGTTAGTGTACTGTACTTTGTGATGAGTTTTGAACTCTGTCCTCAAACGGCATTAGCATGGCAGACCGTTTTAACAGCTCATTACTACAGATACTACAGTAAGCCTTCGTGAAATCCTTTGTTCAAGCCCACAAGAGGAACCAGCAATCTGTTCGCCAGTCTAGTACATAACAGCTAAACTGTTCTCTAAATACACTACATGACCGAAAGTATGTGGACACCTGCTCGTCGAACATCTCATTCCAAAATCGTCGGCATTACTATGGAGTTGGTTCCCCTTTCCTGCTATAACAGCCTCCACTCGTCTGGGAAGGCTTTCCACTAGATGTTAGAACATTCTGCGGGGACTTGCTTCCATTCAGCCGCTAGAGCGTTAGTGCAGTCGGCGTTCCAATTCTTCCCAAAGGTGTTCGGTGGGGTTGAGGTCAGGGCTCTGTGCAGGCCAGTCAAGCTCTTCCACACCGATCTCGACAAACCATTTCTGTATGGACCTTGCTTTGTGCACGGGGGCATTGTCATGCTGAAACAGGAAAGGGCCTTCCCAACTGTAAAACTGTTGCCACAAAGTTGGAAGCACAGAATTGTCTAGTATGTCATTGTATTCTGTAGCGTTAAGATTTCCCTTCACTGGAACTAAGGAGCCTAGCCTGAACCATGAAAAACAGCCCCAGACCATTATTCCTCCTCCACCAAACTTTACAGTTGGCACTATGCATTGTGGCAGGTAGTGTTCTCCTGGCATCCGCCAAACCCAGATTCCGCTGTCCGACTGCCAGATGGTGAAGCGTGATTCATCACTTCAGAGAACGCGTTTCCACTGCTCCAGAGTCCAATGGCGGCAAGCTTTATACCACTCCAGCCGATGCTTGGCATTGCGCATGGTGATCTTAGGCTTGTGTGCGGCTGCTCGGCCATGGAAACCCATTTCATGAAGTTCCCGACTAACAGTTATTGTGCTGACGTTGCTTCCAGAGGCAGTTTGGAACTCGGTAGTGAGTGTTGCAACCGAGGACAGACGATTTTTACGTAATACGCGTATCAGCACTCGGCGGTCAAATTTTGTGAGCTTGTTTGGTCTACCACTTCGAGGCTGAGCCGTTGTTGCTCCTAAACATTTCCACTTCACAATAACAGCACTTACAGTTGACCGGTGCAGCTCTAGCAGGGCAGAAGTTTGACGAACTGACTTGTTGGAAAGGTGGCATCCTATGACGGTGCCACATTGAAAGTCACTGTGCTCTTCAGTAAGGCCATTCTACTGGCAATGTTTATCTGTGGCGATTGCATGGCTGTGTGCTCAATTTTATACACCGGTCAGCAACGGGTGTTTGCTGAAATAGCCAAACCACTCATTTTAAGGGGTGTCAACATTCTTTCGTATATATAGTGTATTTGACGAACTCTTGTTGCCCAGAGTACATACTTGTGAACAAATCTCTCCGTAGATGCCATTTTTTTACAATACTGCCTTGTTTAGCATTTAATTATATATTCTATAACCTCATCATTGATTATGGTTTTCAATATGAATCTTTAGATTAAATATTTAAATAAAAACTTGCTCAAGGTTTTCAAAGCCATTCTGTTTGGTGATTGGTTAATTCTTAGAAATGTCGCTAATGCTGCCAATGACATTGGTGAAGATTCAAGAACATTTTGTTCACCAACTGTCCTTTATGAAGACATAACATGTACCCTTTTGATCTTGAGACAGCTGTGCAACTGCACATTTTTTTTACTATTCTGGGATTATGAGGGCTGGATGAAAGCAGTCTGCCTGTCAAATTAAACCATATTTTTTGACAAATTGGCACTACTCTTAGAAAAGACCTAAAGGTAAGAACAAAAGCAGGGCTAATGAGGACAAGTTGCAGTATGTATATGGTATGGTTTAGTTTAAACTAAGGCAGTGCTCTCCCTTCTGTGCTAGGTAGCATACACTACCAGTCAAAAGTTTGGACACATCTACTCATTCAAGGGTTTTTCTTTATTTTTACTATTTTCTACATTGTAGAATAATAGTGAAGACATCAAAACTATGAAATAACACATATGGAGTCATGTAGTCACCAAAACAGTGTTAAATAAATCAACATATTTTATATTTGAGATTCTTCAAATAGCCACCCTTTGCCTTGATGACAGCTTTGCACACTCTTGGCATTCTGTCAACCAGCTTCATGAGGTAGTCACCTGGAATGTATTTCAATTAACAGGTGTGCCTTCTTAAAAGTTAATTTGTGGAATTTCTTTCTTAATGCGTTTGAGCCAATCAGTTGTGTTGTCAAAAGGGGGGCTATACAGAAGATAGCCCTATTTGTCCATATTATGGCAAGAACAGCTCAAATAAGCACAGAGAAACAACAGTCCATCAATACTTTAAGACATGAAGGTCAGTCAATACAGAAAATGTCAAGGACTTTGAAAGTTTCTTCAAGTGCAGTCGCAAAAACCATCAAGCGCTATGATGAAACTGGCTCGCATGAGGACAGCCACAGGAAAGGAAGACCCAGAGTTACCTCTGCTGCAGAGGATAAGCTCATTAGAGTTACCAGCCTCAGAAATTGCACCCCAAATAAATGCTTCAGAGTTCAAGTCACAGACACATCTCAACATCAACTGTTCAGAGGGGACTGTGTGAATCAGGCCTTCATAGTCAAATTGCTGCAGAGAAACCACTACCAAAGGACACCAATAAGAAGAGACCTGCTTGGGCCAAGAAACACGAGCAATGGACATTAGGCCGGTGGAAATGTGTCCTTTGGTCTGGAGTCCAAATTGGAGATTTTTGGTTCCAACCGCCGTGTCTTTGTGAGACGCGGTGTGGGTGAACGGATGATCTCCGCATGTGTATTTCCCACTGTGAAGCATGGAGGAGAAGGTGTTATGGTGTGGGGGTGCTTTGTTGGTGACACAGTCTGTGATTTATTTAGAATTCAAGGCACACATAACCAGCATGGCTACCACAGCGATACGCCATCCCATCTGGTTTGGGCTTAGTGGGACTATCATTTGTTTTTCAACAGGACAATGACCCAACACACCTCCAGGCTGTGTAAGGGCTATTTCAGATGACCTGGCCTCCACAATCCCCCGACCTCAACCCAATTGAGATGGTTTGGTATGAGTAGGACAGCAGAGTGAAGGAAAAGCAGCCAACAACTGCTCAGCATATGTGGGAACTCCTGTTGGAAAAGCATTCCAGGTGAAGCTGGTTGAGAGAATGCCAAGAGTGTGCAAAGCTGTCATCAAGGCAAAGGGTGACTATTTGAAGAATCTCAAATATAAAATATTTTGATTTGTTTAACACTTTTTTGGTTACTACATGATTCCATAGTTTTGATGTCTTCACTATTATTCTACAATGTAGAAAATAGTAAAAATAAAGAAAAACCCTTGAATGAGTATGTGTGTCCAAACTTTTGACTGGTACTGTATATACTGACCACTCTTGCTGTCTGTGCTCTTCAGCTGCTCTTTGCCAGGGGACTGACTATGGTCACTCTTAGCCTCGTTGCTGTCACTCTGGGAAGTTGCCATGGCCTCTGGGGCAGGGCTGGCACTGTTGCTGTTATCCTGCTTCATGGGAGAGCAGTCAGCAATGGAGCTCTGGTTACTGTTATCATCTGAGAGATACAGAAAGTGACAAAGATGAATTTACAACTATTATTGAACCAAAGAAAATAATTTTGTAAATATTTTGCCCTTTTTTAGCTTACCATGCATATCCATCATTCCAGGAGAGGGGCTGTTTTCTGGTGTTGTGATCTCCGACCCGTACTTGTCATCCTTGGCTTTCTTCTTATTTTTGCTCTTCTGCAAGATAGCACATACAATGCTGAAGTGCCACTATTTATTACATATTTATTAAGTATTACATAATGATGTACTTTATCTCAATATAGTAGGCTACCTTTGTGGACAAGTTCATGTCAGAAGGAATTGGAAAGGACATGAGGAAAGGAAGCACATGTTGGTGATCATCCACCGCACTTCAGTAACTGTTCCCAGTCTCATTCTACAAGGACCTGCAAAAACGATTAGGCAAATGTGGTGCCCCCAAACACCCTGTGGATGACTTACATCATTTGACTTGGGTTCGGTCACAGGCACCCACTTGTAGATTCGCAAGGATGTGTCGCCGACAGTTACCCATTTCTTCTCCCTGCGTTAGTTACACAAGGAATGAGAAACACTTGTTTGCAATTGATATATTGCATTTTTAATGTCAACAAAACACTATTTTAGTGTACTATCAATTTAAATTACAATTCCCAATAGAAACTGTATTTCAGCATTTACTTTGGCAAGTTAATTTGAGGTTTAGGAATTTGTTGTTACTTCTTTCTAAACCTTTGAGAAATTCACCCAATGACTGCCTATAATAGCCTCACATTATTTAGACTAAATGAAGCACACAATTTAGTGGTAATTATACATTCAGGCTACTTGCAAGCAAATCCACATGACATCAAACTATACAATTTCAATGTTATATTACTATAGGGGCATATTATTAGTAATACAAAATAAAATTGTAAAGCAATTCGGGCTTTGCACAGTTCGTCTAACCACCACCACCGCACGCGCGCCCTCTATTTGCAGGACACAAAAGAACGAACCTCTCCAAGCGCTAAATTTAAAACCCCGCGAACGTTAACTATTCTCACTATACCGCTGTCGTCGAACTACGGCTGTGATGTTAATATTGATACCATTCGAGCAGTGAAAAAGCAGTAACCTACCATGCTTCTCATGCATTACAGAATGCTCGAACAGCAAAGGCTTCATCTAACTGCAACGAAATGGCTTCTAGGTTCAACCCACATTTTTTTATGAATAGATATTCCTACATTATAAGTGTTTTAAGCGGCGACCTCCTCAGATCAGGGCGAGAGAGCGCAGTACACCTGAGCAGATGTATCATCCGACCAAATTTGATTTAATGTGTATTTCGTTCTTTCTTCTCCTGCTTTCTCCTCCCCCACTAGCATTGCTGCTCTCTTAGATAACGCGTTCCCTCTTACCAATTTCGTACTTTCTCAACAGCAGCCATAACCCGCTTGATGTCATCTTTCGCCCTACTCCGTGTCTCGGCGCGGACCGACCTGCCCGACATAGCTATTGGTAAAATATGTTAAACTCGCCGGCAGTTTAGACACAATGCAAACACACGGAAGCGAGCTCTAGGAGGAAGTAACGCGCCTGCGCCGTGGACAGCGCAGAGCAGGCAAAGCGCTTCTACCGTCCTTTTATAGCTCAATGGCTTGCACGCACTATTTTTGGTGTTTCTGTTGACAGACAGGAGAGAAGTTGCACTATTTCAGACAAAAGTTTTTCGGCATTTATCTTGAAAGTCTCTCAGAAAGTTAACACGTAGGCTATTGATGAATTAATGTTACTTTTTTACTTGACACAATAAGGTTAACAATTATAGTGAATTAATAAATTAAATACATTTGCAATTAAATGCTTCTACATTTTTAATACATCATAACATGTGCTGTTTCCAATGTATCTTTATTAGCAATTAATATCCAATAAAAGGTCACATCAAACTGCACCCATGAGGAAATGGCTGTCACTCATGTATGTGGGTGCTTCATGAACTACAATCTTCCCATGAGTCTTTTACAGATTGAGCCCCACACTCTCACATACAGTACATGTAATTCCTATACAACTTCTGATCCTGAGGGGGACAACATTCCCTCATGGGAGGAGTGAAGAATCTCTTTAATATAAATGGGGAATCCCAGGATATCACTTGCAAATGTTTCCATGGAAATCTCCTCTGGGATCTCACTCTCCAACAAGTCTTCTGCATCTGTCACACACACACACACACACACACACACACACACACACACACACACACACACACACACACACACACACACACACACACACACACACACACACACACACACACACACACACACACTTTTAATGGTCGACTATCAAAACCGTGTAGTTTCAGTCTCATTATGACATTTTCAGACACTACTCTAAACTGAATATGGTGATACATACCATCACATTCAAAAGCTCCCAGCTCAGGACTCCCCCCTTCTGGATTCAGTCCTAACAGTGTGGTGAAACATTCTGCCAGCTCATTTTCAGTCATGTGTTCCCCTGAGGCAAAAAGAGGGGTGACGTATTATTAGAATGAAATCCCATCACTGCCTCAGAACAAGGGAACATAAGTACATACTGACACTACCCTGCATAGAATTATACAGACACAGCAAACAGACGTGTGGGGACTAAGCAGCTAGCCTAGCACACCTCTATCCTTGAGGAGTTCCAGCAGCTCGTCCTTGTTCACCACAGGCTCTCCCATCACATAGGGGTCACCCAGGACCTGGAAGGTGTGAAGTAGCTCCTTGCTAGAGATGCCAAACGCTGGCCGGTGGTTGACGTAGAGCTTAATGAACTCCTCCAGGTCTATGTCGGTCACATATCTCCCAGACTCAGCATACCTGCTGAACTTGACTTCGTTCTGCATGTCCTCCAGCTGGATAGAGTCATGATCAACAAACATTATTCTTTCTTTACTGAACTTAACTCATTGTTATAGCTGAATATGTTATTATCATTGACAAACAGGAAAGAAAACAGAAAATGATCAAAGTCATAGATTGATAAATCGTTTCCAAATTAGCCTAGTCATCGCATTAGTCCTCATTGAGGACGTTGTACCTCTTGCTCAGTGGGGAAGAAGCCCAGAGCCCTCATGACAAAGGGGACCTCTGCTAGGGGGATTCGGGTGGACACTTGTCGCATCTCCATGGAGTCAATGCCTTGGCTACGCAGCTGACAGTAATAGAAATAGTCCTCCATTTCCTAAAGAGAAAAATGAAAGTGTCAGAACAAACACAAAAGTATTGTACAGCCATAAGAACATATGTACCAACTATACAGTTCTGAATATTGATGGTTACATGGTAAATATATCCGTTTAACCTACTCTAACGAGTTTCCCGTCTCTCCCTCCCTCCAGGAGGCTGTAGAAGGGGATCAGCTCTTTTCCACCCAGGGATGCAGCAGCCTCTAATGCACTAAACACACAACAAGCGAGAACGATTCAGTTCACCAGGACAACTCAAGGGTCTATTCAGTGAAGGGTCTACTCACTTTAAACTAATCTCCCATGAGAGGACTGTGCAGTCAGACCCTCCAGCAGTGAAGACATATCGACCGTCATAGGAGCAGGCCATAGCAGACACCCCTGTTGGGTGGCAGATCAGAGCAGAGGACTTGTGGGGGTTCCCATCAACAGGCAGAATCTGGACACCCACCTTGAAAAATAACAATGACAAGTTACACTGAAACCAGTATCTCTTCATTAGGCAACAAATACACATAAGTCTGGCCCCTTAAATGAAAACTTTCATACATATTTGGTCTGACTGACAAGAAGGTGGTTTGATATGATTGGGAGTGAATCAACACTTACCTTGTCTTTTGTGATGTATACCATGTAATGAGCGCTAGGGCCATGGTCCTTATAAAATGGAAGTATGGCCATCTTTTCAACTGGAGACCCGTATGTGGGGCCAAGGAGTGTCTTTCTGCAAGAGAAACCAGAAGTATTCATTTGTGGCCTTCATACTACACCCCAATGACACAGAGATGGCCAAAAATAAGAGTACTAATCATGCTTTTACAGACTCTGTTATTTGGCTGCTGACCTGCACATCTTAGTGGTGCTGTTGAAAAGCTTCATTTTGTAAAGATCCGACGCGGTGAGCAGGAAGTCCTCTGTGGTGAGGGGTGGGTACCATGCCATACAGGTGGGCACAGCGCTCTGCTCAATGCGCTCAGAGCTCAGGATCAGCAGCTCATCCTCATTGCTGTTCTGCAGGTCATACTCCACCTGGGCAATCACCACCACACACCAAGGCAAAGTCATCCAAAGTGAGTCAGCATGTCTAGTGGTTCAGCATGTGAAGAAACATGGCATGCAAGTAAACCAGAGTCCACCTATAATAATTGTGAGGGATTGGGACTCACCAGCCTGCGGTCCATGCCCAGGGAGAGTAGTCTGGTTTGGGTGCTGTCCAGGTACACCCCAAATAGGAGGTCCCTGATGGGCTTATAGTGGGAGTGGTGCCTCCCCAGGTATTTCCAGCGCTGCATGCTCTTACCGGTGTACAAGCAGAACACCATCACCGCTCTTCCAGCATCCTGACAGTAGCAACAAAACAGGAGGGGAAAATGCAACTTCTTAGCTTTAGTTTGATTTTAAGGCTTCAAGGTAGATCAAATCAAATCAAATAACATTTTATTGGCCACATGCGCCGAATACAACAGGTGCAGACATTACAGTGAAATGCTTACAGTGGGGGAAAAAAGTATTTAGTCAGCCACCAATTGTGCAGGTTCTCCCACTTAAAAAGATGAGAGAGGCCTGTAATTTTCATCATATGTACACGTCAACTATGACAGACAAATTGAGATTTTCTTTCTCCAGAAAATCACATTGTAGGATTTTTAATGAATTTATTTGCAAATTATGGTGGAAAATAAGTATTTGGTCAATAACAAACAAGCAAGATTTCTGGCTCTCACAGACCTGTAACTTCTTCTTTAAGAGGCTCCTCTGTCCTCCACTCGTTACCTGTATTAATGGCACCTGTTTGAACTTGTTATCAGTATAAAAGACACCTGTCCACAACCTCAAACAGTCACACTCCAAACTCCACTATGGCCAAGACCAAAGAGCTGTCAAAGGACACCAGAAACAAAATTGTAGACCTGCACCAGGCTGGGAAGACTGAATCTGCAATAGGTAAGCAGCTTGGTTTGAAGAAATCAACTATGGGAGCAATTATTAGGAAATGGAAGACATACAAGACCACTGATAATCTCCCTCGATCTGGGGCTCCACGCAAGATCTCACCCCGTGGGGTCAAAATGATCACAAGAACGGTGAACAAAAATCCCAGAACCACACGGGGGGACCTAGTGAATGACCTGCAGAGAGCTGGGACCAAAGTAACAAAGCTTACCATCAGTAACACACTACGCCGCCAGGGACTCAAATCCTGCAGTGCCAGACGTGTCCCCCTGCTTAAGCCAGTACATGTCCAGGCCCGTCTGAAGTTTGCTAGAGTGCATTTGGATGATCCAGAAGAGGATTGGGAGAATGTCATATGGTCACATGAAACCAAAATATAACTTTTTGGTAAAAACTCAACTCGTCGTGTTTGGAGGACAAAGAATGCTGAGTTGCATCCAAAGAACACCATACCTACTGTGAAGCATGGGGGTGGAAACATCATGCTTTGGGGCTGTTTTTCTGCAAAGGGACCAGGACGACTGATCCGTGTAAAGGAAAGAATGAATGGGGCCATGTATCGTGATATTTTGAGTGAAAACCTCCTTCCATCAGCAAGGGCATTGAAGATGAAATGTGGCTGGGTCTTTCAGCATGACAATGATCCCAAACACACCGCCCGGGCAATGAAGGAGTGGCTTCGTAAGAAGCATTTCAAGGTCCTGGAGTGGCCTAGCCAGTCTCCAGATCTCAACCCCATAGAAAATATTTGGAGGGAGTTGAAAGTCCGTGTTGCCCAGCGACAGCCCCAAAACATCACTGCTCTAGAGGAGCTCTGCATGGAGGAATGGGCCAAAATACCAGCAACAGTGTGTGTAAACCTTGTGAAGACTTACAGAAAACGTTTGACCTGTGTCATTGCCAACAAAGGGTATATAACAAAGTATTGAGAAACTTTTGTTATTGACCAAATACTTATTTTCCACCATAATTTGCAAATAAATTCATTAAAAATCCTACAATGTGATTTTCTGGATTTTTTTTCTCACATTTTGTCTGTCATAGTTGACGTGTACCTATGATGAAAATTACAGGCCTCTCTCATCTTTTTAAGTGGGAGAACTTGCACAATTGGTGGCTGACTAAATACTTTTGTCCCCCACTGTACTTACAGCCCTTAACCAACAGTGCATTTATTTTTAATAAAAAAGTAGAATAAAACAACCAAAAAGTGTTGAGAAAAAAAGAGCAGAAATAAAATAACAGTAGGGTTATTATATATATACAGGGGGGTACCGGTGCAGAGTCAATGTGCGGCGGCACCGGCTAGTTGAGGTAGTTGAAGTAATATGTACATGTGGGTAGAGTTAAAGTGACTATGCATAAATAATTAACAGAGTAGCAGCAGCGTAAAAAGATTGGGTGGGGGGGCAGTGCAAATAGTCTGGGTAGCCATGATTAGAGGGCTCAAACCTGTTACTGTTTATTTATTTATTTCACCTTTATTTAACTAGGCAAGTCAGTTAAGAACAAATTCTTATTTACAATGACGGCCTACCAAAAGGCAAAAGGCCTCCTGCAGGGACGGGGGCTGGGATTAAAAATAAAAATATAGGACAAAACACACAATCCCAATGCCAGAACCACATAGTGTGTCTGCTCACCGCTGTGGCCAGGTAGAGGGAGTCTGGAGAGAAGGTCATGTGAGTAATGCAGTCTTGGCTGTAGTTGAAGCGCTCCTCTGCCTCACTCAGCAATGTACAAGCATCCAGTACATGGACAGATCCACTGGCAAAGCCAACCGCCAAATAAAATCCTGTTCACACACAGTGGTGGAAAAAGTACCCAATTGTCATACTAGAGTAAAAGTAAAGATACCTTAATAGAAAATGACTCAAGTAAAAGTGAAAGTCACCCAGTAAAATACTACTTAAGTCTAAAGGTATTTGGTTTTAAATATACTTAAGTATCAAAAGTAAATGTAAAAGTATAAGCACGCAGTGCTAGCTGTGCCACTAGAGATCCTGGTCCCACGACCGGGAGACCCATGGGGCGGCGCACAATTGGCTCAGCGTCGTCCAGGGTAGGGGAGGGAATGGCCGGCAGGGATGTAGCTCAGTTGGTAGAGCATGGCGTTTGCAACGCCAGGGTTGTGGGTTCGATTCCCACGGGGGGGCCAGTATGAAAAATAAAATAAAATATGTATGCACTCACTAACTGTAAGTCGCTCTGGATAAGAGTGTCTGCTAAATGACTAAAATGTAAATTTCACATTCCTTATATTAAGCAAACCAGACCGCATGATTTTCTTGCTTTATTATTTAACGGATAGCCAGGGGCACACTCCAACACTCAGACATAATTTACAAACGAAGCATTTGTGTTTAGTGAATCTAGTGAATCTGGCAGATCAGAGGCAGTAGGGATGACCAGGGATGTTCTCTTGATAAGTGTGTGAGTTGGAAAAAGGTTCTGTTCTGCTAAGCCTTCGAAATGTAACTAGTACTTTTGGGTGTCAGGGAAAATGTATGGAGTAAGAAGTACATTATTTTCTTTAGGAATGTAGTGGAGTAAATGTAAAAGTTGTCAAAAACATAAATAGTAAAATAAAGTACAGATACCCCCCCAAAATACTGAAGTAGTATTTTAACTTAAGTACTTTATGCCACTGTTCACACACACAGGATAGCCTGGTCAAAGCTAAGCCAACTCACACACAGACAGATAATATGTTCTAAGGGAAGTTATCCCTACACCACAAATCGAATTTCAGAAAATTTGAGATCTTTCTACATATGAATATAGTTTTACTGTAAAGGAAATTAAACAAGACAAAAAAAAGCCTCTGCTGGGTCACCTTGGGGGTCATAGGCGATGCACTGAATATGCCTCTCCTTCTCAAAGACCCTGCTACAGATGGACACCTTGCGCTCATAGTCCCACACCTTCAGGATGCCGCTGTGGCTACCCATGGCAACAACTGGTTGCTGGGGGTGACAGGCCACAGCATGCAGTGCCTCGCAATGCTCGCGCAGCAATGTCTGCGGCACACCACCCTGTGTATTCACATGTACCACCGTCGAGCTGACTGTAGACAGGACAAAGTTCCTACAGATGAGAGGGGGGTTTAGAGGGGGATGGAGGACAAAGCAGATACGTTTCACATACACTGGGGCACAAACTGGCATCACACTGATTCTCACCGGATAACAAACATCTTGGCTTCCAGAGTGCAGTCCTCCAGAAAACCCTGGCTGCTGTTAGGTGGAACTTCCTTGGAAAAGGAGATTGATGTGATTGGATCCAGGTTGAATTCACTGTACCAGCTGATGAGCTTGAAGTTCTCATCATAGAATTTCACATGGCCCAGAGTGTCACCAGTCACAATGAAGCTAAATAATTAAAGACCATGGGGATATACAAGGAGAGCAACAGTTAGAGAACAACAGCTACACATATCAGGCTGCAATACAAAGAACAATACTTCAATAGTGGTAAGGGAGTTGAACTCCAAGCAGAAGGATAAAGCTCCTGTTTCAGCGTAGTTTGAAACGTTGAATGTTGCATGTTCACCTGTCAGTCAGAGTGAGCACGGTGATGCCGTCCTTCTGGAGGGGGATGAGCTTGATGGCTCTCCTAATGAGAGGTCTTGAGTTAGAGGAGGCCCTAACCATGTCCCACAGCACCAAGTTGCCTGCAGAGGTGGCCGAGAGGGCCTGAAGCCCCCTCCAGTGGAACACAGACTGGCTCAGCATGCCCACAACCTTGTTGAAAGTCTTTTGAAAGATGGTAAAACCACCAGAGAGTGAATGTGGAGATTAGTACAATGACATGATTACAGGTTCTATAAACAACTAAACAGCTAGCGTCCTTACCTTGTCCAAGAGGTCTGGGGCAATATAATCAAGGTGTTGCTTGTCCTGAAAGAAATAACTGACAATCATATACTGTAACGCTAGTTACTAACTGTAGCAGTGTTAAACCACGAGTACAACAAAACTGTGGTACTTGCCCTGGTGTAAAATAAGACTTGGCTCTCACTGTTGCTGAGCAGCTGAGTGATGTCATTGGGATTAAAAAGGATGTGTTTCTGAAAAGGAATTGAAATCAGAACATGTTGTAAAGTCATACATTATTGCAGATATTATCATATGAATGTATTCAATTACAGTTGAAGTCAGAAGTTTACATACACTTAGGTTGGAGTCATTAAAACTTGTTTTTCAACCACTCCACAAATTTCTTGTTAACAAACTATTGTTTTGGCAAGTTGGTTAGGACATGTACTTTGTGCATGACACAAGTCATTTTTCCAACAATTGTTTACAGACAGATTATTTCACTTATAATTCACTGTATCACAATTCCAGTGGGTCAGAAGTTTACATACACTAAGTTGACTGTGCCTTTAAACAGCTTGGAAAATTCCAAGCTTGACATCATGGGAAAATCAAAAGAAATCAGCCAAGACCTCAGAAAAAAATTGTAGACCTCCACAAGTCTGGTTCATCCTTGGGAGCAATTTCCAAACACCTGAAGGTACCACGTTAATCTGTACAAACAGTAAGTCTCCCGAGTGGCGCAGTGGTCTAAGACACTAGCTGTGCCACTAGAGATCCTGGTTCGAATCCAGGCTCTGTCGTAGCCGGCTGCGACCGGGAGACCCATGGGGCGGCGCAGAATTGGCCCAGCGTCGTCCAGGGTAGGGAAGGGAATGGCCGGCAGGGATGTAGCTCAGTTGGTAGAGCATGGCGTTTGCAACGCCAGGGTTGGGGGTTCGATTCCCACGGGGGGCCAGTATGAAAAATTGTATGCACTCACTAACTGTAAGTCGCTCTGGATAAGAGCGTCTGCTAAATGACTAAAATGTAAATAGTACGCAAGTATAAACACCATGGGACTACGCAGTCGTCATACTGCTAGAGATGAACGTACTTTGGTGCGAAAAGTGCAAATAAATCCCAGAACAACAGCAAAGGACCTTGTGAAGATGCTGGAGGAAACAGGTACAAAAGTATCTATATCCACAGTAAAACGAGTCCTATATTGACATAACCTGAAAGGCCGCTCAGCAAGGAAGAAGCCAATGCTCCAAAACCGCCATAAAAAAGCCAGACTACGATTTGCAACTGCACATGGGGACAAAGATCGTACATTTTGGAGAAATGTCCTCTGGTCTGATGAAAAAAAAGTAGAACTGTTTGGCCATAATGACCATCGTTATGTTTGGAGGATAAAGGGGGTCGCTTGCAAGCCGAAGAACACCATCCCAACCGTGAAGCACGGGGGTGGCAGCATCATGCTGTGGGGGTGCTTTGCTGCAGGAGGGACTGGTGCACTTCACAAAATAGATGGCATCATGAGGAAGGAACATTATGTGGATATATTGAAGCAACATCTCAAGACATCAGTCAGGAAGTTAAAGCTTGGTCGCAAATGGGTCTTCCAAATGGACAATGACCCCAAACATACTTCCAAAGTTGTGGCAAAATGGCTTAAGGACAACAAAGTCAAGGTATTGGAGTGGCCATCACAAAGCCCTGACCTCAATCCTATAGAAAATTTGTGGGCAGAACTGAAAAAGTGTGTGCGAGCAAGGAGGCCTACAAACCTGACTCAGTTACACCAGCTCTGTCAGGAGGAATGGGTCAACATTCACCCAACTTACTGTGGAAAGCTTGTGGAAGGCTACCCAAAACGTTTGACCCAAGTTAAACAATTTAAAGGCAATGCTACCAAATACTAATTGAGTGTATGTAAACTTCTGACCCACTGGGAATGTGATGAAAGAAATAAAAGCTGAAATAAATCAGTCTCTCTACTATTATTCTGACATTTCACATTCTTAAAATAAAGTGGTGATCCTAACTGACCTAAGACAGGGAATTTTTACTAGGATTAAATGCCAGGAATTGTGAAAAGCTGATTTTAAATGTATTTGGCTAAGGTGTATGTAAACTTCCGACTTCAACTGTATATACACTATCTTAAATATAGTGAGACCATAAAAGCTTACCTGAAAACCATACTCCGGGTTGAGCTCAGTTACACACAATGGATCCTCTGTCTCATTTGTCCAGTCCCATATACAAACTCGCTGTGAACAGATCAGAAAGTCCTGTCCACTGTATGTCTATTTAAGTTCAGTTAACAACATACACCTAAACATTATAAATTGGGACACACACTCATCTGAACATTCAAAAAAGCACTGGTAGGTTTCACAATTTATGTTTCCCCTCAACTTTAACATGGGCCTTATAAAAAAGAGCAGCTCGGCTGGTTCAGCTGAATTACACATTATTCTATCTAACTACACCCCCCATATGCAATGTCTTGAAATATGCAGACAGATGGATTAAAAGTAAGTTTACTTTGTAATACTTCTGACAGCCCACTTTCTAGCTCCGCCTACAACTTCTGGACTGTATAGCATTCCCAGAAAACATGGGATTATTGAGTCATTAGTTTTACACTTGAGACATGACTCTGCCGTTGTGCTTTAGAATTTGTGAATTTTGTCTCTTATAAATACATTCTATACATTAGTTTATACTGGATTAAGCATATATTTTCGTTAACTGTAATTTTGTTAGTTATGCTCCAACTTTCCCTCCATCTTGTGCCAACATCAGTTCTTTTTAAATCTTGGTTCCAATAGTTTATATTTTTTTCTAGGAGATTGTCAGTTGGATATTGTCACGTCTCCTCCGGTTGCTCCCCACTGGTGCTCTGATTCGCCGGACTACTGAGCCACCGGTCTGAGCGCACCACCTTGGCAACACCGCAATGGAAACCCAACGCACCCTAATCACCTCCAGCGCACCTGCACCTCATCATCTCATCACCACCCCTATATAGCCCTGGACTATTCAGTGTTGTGTGTGATTGTTAGTGTCTTGTCATGTACGCACGCTTTGTTGTTCTCTTGCGCAGTGTTAAGTAAACCTTTACATTGTTGATTTCTTCGTATCCTCAGTACTCATCACAGATATGCTCTCTGCAAGGTTTTGTATATCTTCCCTATCATTTTAACATCCTTTTCTGACTCAAATAAGATTCCCTCAAGGGGAAATATATTTCTAATCAACATTTCGTGATATGTAACTTTTAAGTTGTGTGTATTTGATAGTATCTACATTGGTCAGTCCAAATTTTTCTTTTTATTCTGTCATGGAAATACAATTATTTCCTGTTACCAAGTCATTTACAGTTTCTATAACTTTAGTTTTCCATGTGGGCCAATTTATCGATTAATTCTGAAAATCTATCCAAGGATTGTTCCATCAGGTTGTGCATCTAGGGAGTAATATAATAATATAATATGCCATTTAGCAGACGCTTTTATCCAAAGCGACTTACAGTCACGCGTGCATACATTTTTGTGTATGGGTGGTCCCGGGGATCGAACCCACTACCTTGGTGTTACAAGCGCCGTGCTCTACCAGCTGAGCTACAGAGGACCACGTGATACTGGTTCTTGTAAAATGTTAAATTTTTTCCCATATCGTTATAGTGTTCTTAACTATGAAGTTAATATTCTTAGCTTTATCCTTTGAAAATAGACACGTAAAAAGATTCTGCGGATGAGCAATATGCCATTTAGCAGACGCTTTTATCCAAAGCGACTTAGTCATGCGTGCATAATTTTTTTTTTTTTGTGTATGGGTGGTCTCGGGGATCGACCCCACTACCCTGGCATTACAAGCGCCGTGCTCTACCAGCTGAGCTACAGAGGACCACTGGATAAGAGCGTCTGCTAAATAATGTAAATGTATACCTTTTTTAAAGAATGTCTTCGGTGGGGTAATCGGTATTACTGAAAATAAATAGTAAAACTTTGGCAGCCATGCCATTCTAAAGGTCTGACATTTTAGATATGATAATTTTTCACGAAGTGCTTGCTGCCAAACGGATGTAGTGAACGACTTTTAAAAAGTTATTATATATTTTTCTTTAGGTTAGCTTAACTTCTTCCAGTGTGAAGTAATTGGTAGTTTGGTAAACTATATTTTCATTGTAGCTTCCCCAACCCTGAGCTTACCTGAATATTTCCAGCTCCAACTGTTACCAGGTATTTGGAGTCCTTTGACAGTGCCAAAGCTGCAACACCGCCCTCAGGGTGACTGTCAAATAATGTCCGCACAGGAATCCTGAAACATAAGCCAAACAACCACTGTTTCAGAATTACAAATTGAAACAGATACATCAAAAATATGAACGTACTGTTAGAATATAGTTTTACCCTGAAAAGGAGTCCCAAATGATCACCAGACTTTCCTGTCCTCGGTCTGCTGTCACCAGCCAGCGCCTGTCCTCACTCACACACAAACATGAAATGGGGCTGCTGTGACCCTGTGGAAGGTGACCTTCAAGTTTATGTCAGTACTGTTTGCCTTGAACAGTTATTTTTGGCTTTACCTTTGCCATCAAACACTGGCATTCCTAACAGCATAGACATAGCACTCACTCCCTATAGCCACAGGCTTTTGTCAACTTCTGACCTTGTTGAGTGCATTGAGGCAACTGCTGGGCCTTACCTGAAGGACATGTTGTGAATTTGAGGTTTGGTCGTACATGACGGCTACATTGGTGCCACCATACAGGATCACCAGCTGATCCTGGTCCTGAAGGTTGAAGACCGGAAGAGCCCTGTTCATCCCAAAGGCCCACTCCAGTGTCTGTCACCAAACACATTACATTTTTCAGATATTGTACTTTGTTTCTTAGATATACAGTTGAATAAAATGTGTATGATAAAAGGCTAGTTGCATTTACCAGTGCATTCGTTTTTACATGAGGGGACTTCTGCTTTGGTAATAGTGTCATTTTAGTGGCTGTGTGGACTTGAGAGACAGTTGGATTCTGATAATCTGTCTTGGGTTCCCAATTCTGTCCACTGACACAATCACTCCTTTCACCCTCCCCTTTACTATCCTCTTTTCTCTGATGCAGATCCTCTCCATCCTTGTCTCGCTGCTGCTCCTCTTTGGTGCCAGTTGTGGCCTGCTGCTCCTCTGGAGGGCTTGGCATGGGGTCATTGCTCTCGGTTCCAACGCCTGACATGACTCAACTCATCACAGGCCTGGTGTGTTTTCAGAGAATAGACAAATGCCATTTGATAGGATGGGTACCATGAGGGCAGTAGCTAGCAACAACAAACCAATTGGAGCACAATGTGCTTAGTTGTCAGTTTGTTGATGAAAAATATATAAATGTATTACGCCCCCAATCTAGCTATGTTTAATAGCTATTTTCAACCAGTATTAATTTAAAACCTACTTAGGTTCCTACTTCTACTAACGTTAGCAAGGTGTGACTGTGTTCAATAATAAATTGGCTAGCTAGCGTACGCTAACTATTAGCAAGTGGGCTGTTTCATTAGAGTGGTACAGCAAGTTTTTTTCACAACGAAGAAATAAAACGATTAAACAATGTAAACTATAAATGCACTATTTTAGCTAAATATTTAATCGACAGTTGTAGTTGAACAGCAACATACTCACTCCAGAAACGCATGAACCTACAGCACCGTCTGGCATGAAAGCATCTTGTTGCCTGGATACACTTGCTGTACAGAGAGGGGAGTGGCCAGAGCAAAGACTTGCCAGACAGATGTCTGGGGCCTCTCACATGCAATTTGTAAATGTCAAATATCAAAAAGTAATTGCAAGGAGAAACCTGCATGACCAAGACTGATTAACACTTTTTTCATATTTTGGCAATTCATTTGTTGTAACTTTTCTTCAGGTGATGAGTTGGGCAAAGGGAAATGTCATCTGAAGAAAATATAATTTTCACAATGAAAGCAAATGTAAACTCACACAGAAAACAACCTTAAACAATACTTTTTATTAGAACATGAAATTGACATTGGATCAGTTGAAAATGGCAGTCTTCTAATCTATGGGCTCAAACATATCCCTAACTCATAGCCACCCAGTGGCATACCAGCGCAGAGCTAGTGGTAAGGTTGACCCGAAGATGTCACCTTATGATCCTTATCATTTTTGGATGGGTACAATGTTACATCTGTTGGAAAAACAATTAATAAGCAGTCAATAATCAATCTCTCTTAGATATAAACTCAGCAAAAAAAGAAACGTCCTCTCACTGTCAACTGCGTTTATTTTCAGCAAACTTAACGTGTAAATATTTGTATGAACATAACAAGTTTCAACAACTGAGACAAAAACTAAACAAATTCCACAGACATGACTAACAGAAATTGAATGTGTCCCTGAACAAATGGGGGATCAAAAGTAACAGTCAGTATCTGGTGTGGCCACCAGCTGCATTAAGTACTGCAGTGCATCTCCTCCTCATGGACTGCACCAGATTTGCCAGTTCTTGCTGTGAGATGTTACCCCACTCTTCCACCAAGGCACCTGCAAGTTCCTGGACATTTCTGGGGGGAATGGCCCTAGCCCTCACCCTCCGATCCAACAGGTGCCAGACGTGCTCAATGGGATTGCGATCCGGGCTCTTCTCTGGCCATGGCAGAACACGGACAGTCTTGCAGGAAATCATGCACAGAACGAGCAGTATGGCTGGTGGCATTGTCATGCTGGAGGGTCATGTCAGGATGAGGAGGATGTCTTCCCTGTAACGCACAGCGTTGAGTTTGCCTGCAATAACAACAAGCTCAGTCCGATGATGCTGTGACACACTGCCCCAGACCATGACTGATATAACGTATTTTTATACCATTTTGGTTAATGTCGTTGATCTCATATAGAAAGGATAAGGCCACGCCATGTGTTAGTTATGTCACGGGTGTGTGACAGAAGGTCTACGTGCCAAGATAGATTGGGGGCCAATGGTGCTAAACTTAGGAGTACGTGATGAAATGGCCTGGCTAGGGTGCCACACGATACCATGTAGGGGGATCCTATTGTAGGAGATGAGTGGCACTCAATAATGGTTGGCAAATGTTGGATGGAATTAGTTCTGAAAGCATTATATAAACAGAGGTTTTCTATGTAAAGTCATTTGGATGACAATAGGCTATGCCCGTAGCGCTTGTCAGATGAATCCAGTACTGTAACTATTAAATAACTATGAATCAACTCTCCATCTAAGTGTTCGACTACTCTCTTGCATCCTGAACTTACCGATACCAGAAAATTAATCATAACAATGACGGACCCTCCACCTCCAAATTGATCCTACTCCAGAGTACAGGCCTGGGTGTTACGCTCATTTCTTCTATGATAAACACGAATCCGACCATCACCCTTGTTGAGACCAAACCGCAACTCGTCAGTGAAGAGCACTTTTTGCCAGTCCTGTCTGGTCCAGCGACGGTGGGTTTGTGCCCATAGGTGACGTTGTTGCCGGTGATGTCTGGTGAGGACCTGCCTTACAACAGGCCTACAAGCCCTCAGTCCAGCCTCTCTCAGCCTATTGCGGACAGCCTGAGCAATGATGGAGGGATTGTGCGTTCCTGGTGTAACTCGGGCAGTTGTTGTTGCCATCCTGTACCTGTCCCGCAGGTGTTGTTACACGTGGTCTGCCACTGTGAGGACGATCAGCTGTTCGTCCTGTCTCCCTGTAGCGCTGTCTTATGCGTCTCACAGTACGGACATTGCAATTTATTGCCCTGGCCACATCTGCAGTCATCATGCCTCCTTGCAGCATGCCTAAGGCATGTTCACGCAGATGAGCAGGGACCCTGGGCATCTTTCTTTTGGTGTTTTTAGTGTCCTAAGTTTTCATAACTGTGACCTTAATTGCCTACCATCTGTAATCTGTTAGTGTCTTAACGACCGTTCCACAGGTGCATGTTCGTTAATTGTTTATGGTTCATTGCACAAGCATGGGAAACAGTGTTTAAAGTGGTGCAGTGGTCTAAAGGCACTGCATCGCAGTGCTAGCTGTGCCACTAGAGATCCTGGTTCGAATCCAGGCTCTGTCGTAGCCGGCCGCGACCGGGAGACCCACGAGGCGGCGCGCAATTGTCCCAGCGTCGTCCAGGGTAGGGGAGGGAATGGCCGGCAGGGATGTAGCTCAGTTGATAGAGCATGGCGTTTGCAACGCCAGGGTTGTGGGTTCGATTCCCACAGGGGGTATGAAAAAAAATTAATAATGTATGCACTAATTGTAAGTCGCTCTGGATAAGAGCGTCTGCTAAATGACTAAAATGTAATGTAAAATGTAAACCCTTTACAATGAAGATCTGTGAAGTTATTTGGATTTTTACGAATTATATTTGAAAGACAGGGTCCTGAAAAAGGGATGTTTCTTTTTTGCATCTTGGCATGGCATGTATTTTAACATCCATGCTATCAAATGTGAACTACAGTAAAATTAGATCAAATAGAAATCAGTCTAATATCCAGCTCAATAGGTAGGAAACTCACCCCAGTAAACCTCTCCCTGACCACTGCTGTGGGGTAAGGCCCATTTGGGTCTTCTGGCCGTTTCGAATCAATATAACGTTTAATGGTTTCTACAGAGAAAATGGAAAGACAACATGTCATGCCTGGTATGTTATCAATGTAGTGACTGCATTTCATATTGCTGTCATCATGATACATTATCATGATAATGTCATTTGGCATATGAACAATAAAATAAAAGCGGTTATAACAAGATTATTCTGATCACAGACCAACATACCCCTTCACTATGCTGAACCACTGAGGCAATATTCTGCAGGTTCTGGAAGTTCCTTGTGTTGACGGATCCAAACGCTATGATTTCATCACTAACTATGGGGGAAAAACATCAATTTCTCATAACTGAAAACAAAACCACCCTTAAATACCACAAACAAACACACTAAGTAAATACCCATGTCAGTGTTGTAATCAAATTCTATATGTGTTTTAGGTCAATCTAGGCACTGTAAACACTCACAGCCTGACAGGCAGGGGAGCCTTGTGAGACAGCATCCACACACGCGAAGGGAAAGGGCATGGTGACCTCCTGCTCCATGGACTCAATCTGGGACTCTGCCTGGCCCTGGTCCCTTTGCCTTCTCTCGAGCATGCAACCTGTGCAGGGCCTCCTCGATTTCCACCATGATGGCTTTGTGATCATTCTGTAGACCTGCCACGTCGATAAGGTGGCCATAATAAGCAGAGAAAGTCCAGTAGGCAGTAGTACATGAGCAAGGCAACCCTTTACACATGCCAGAAGCAACGCACTGCATCACTGTAAATAGGTTGTCTAACTGTTGTCAAGTAATGTGTCAGTCAAAACATGTTATATTGCACAGCAGTGCTACAAGCATTCTTACAAGAAATCCTGCCCCTTGCTGTTCTGATCTCCTACACATTAACATCTGCATGAGGGAAGCCCTCTGCATCAACCAGAGGACCTTCCATTCCAAAGCCTTACTAAAAGAGAACACACAAATGATTAATGAAGGGAAAACATATTTCTTGCCTAATATTATAGCCCCACCACACGCACGAACGTAGTTTCTAACGTTAGATAAGTAGTGACTATGTAGAAATACTTTGAAGTACTAGTTAAGTAGTTTTTTGGGGCATCTGTACTTTACAACTTTTACTCCACTACATTCCTAAAGAAAATATGTACTTTTTACTCCCATATATTTTCCCTGACACTAAAAAGTACTCGTTACATTTTGAATGCCCAAGCAGGAGAGCAATATGGTCCAATTCACGCACCTATCAATATAACGCGTTGTCATCCTACTGCCTCTGATCTGGCGGACTCACTAAGCACAAATACTGTTTGTTAATCATGTCCGAATGTTGGAGTGTGCCCCTAGCTGACCGTAAATGTAAAATACAAGAACAACATGTGGTCTGGTTTGCTTAATATAAGTAATTTGATGTATAACATTTACTTTGTACTTTGTCAAGTATGACAACTGAGTACTTTTTCCACCACTGTTGATAAGACAGACTGAATAAAAGCAGCATTGATTGACATACAACATATTATTGGAAAGATAACCTAATTTGAGCTCCCTAACGTTAGCTCGTCCACAATGTAAACAACGTATACATGTACCAACTTACATCTTCCAAAACGTCGTAGTAAGCTTGAATTTTCCTTCCATATTGTCTTTCTTTTTTGTAAGACTTTGGACCGCTTCCATTGTTATTGTCGAATTTTCATTGTTGTTTTCCTGTCATCTTTATGATTCTCTCTCGTCTGGAAACTCAAGAACTACAACTACGAGTCACTATTTCCGGTTTCTATGTGTTGCAAACAGCGTAAAAAAAAACTGTTTTCATTGCGAGACAGAGGGAAGAGCTAAATTGCCTATAAAACATAAACGTATTTACAAGAAAATCAGCTTCTTCGTTAAATCAATACAGCTTGGCATGATACTCATAACAACCGGAGGAACTCTGATACAGAATACAAAAATTAAATAATGTCCACTTCTGTTATGTTTTCTTTTAATTAGAGGTTCTGCTGTACATTCACTAACAATATTTCTTCATGATCTTTGGAAACTTAATTTAAAACATGTAAACAAGGTAATTCACGTTAGTGCTATTAATGAGTAGAATGATTACATGGGAAAACAATCAGCTTTTAAACAAGAACAGGTATATGCAAGGTTAACTGTACCTTCAACAGTCTAATATTGGAAAGTAAGAGGTAATCCATAATCACAAACCTTCGAATAAAGTATTTTACTTTGACTGAGCCACCTCTACTTTCCAGGGTTCTACAATAACAGGTTTCACATTTTATTCACAATCTTCATTACTATATTTTGCATAGGCACTTGGGTTTATCTTAACTTAGTAATCTAAGAAATATGATAGCAGCAATCAACAGTAAGTCTTCTCACTACCCCAGTAAGTGCTAGATTACAAAAAATATTGTCCTACTGTCCTGATATTTAACAAACTTCAGGGTGCAAGACATAGCTTTTCTCTGACAGCATATAAGAGCACATTTCTCATAGATAAGAAAGTGAGTAATGTACAAACAAATAAGAGAACCTTAGAAACATTGAACAAGGTCAAGAATGTAAACAGATGACAGCACTTTGTGACCTGTGAAACCAAATAGCAGAAATAATTGCTTGTGTTAACAATGGTTTCAAGATCGGCATTTGCCATCAGGTTGTGCTTTTGGTGTGCAAAGTTGGCATCAAGGAATGTTGAGGTCTGTTTTTCTTTGAGGATCCCACCGAACCAAAAATGTGTGCCATTATTTGGTACCTCCTCTGTTGTTATCAATTAAGCTGCTTCCTATAGTCCTACAGAAATACTTATTTTAGTTTAGCCGATCACCTGCAACACACCAATATTTACCCCACAAAGCTCACACAAGCATGAAGAGCCAGGGTCAAAAGGTTGCCCACTGTACCCCAGTCTTAATATGACTAACACTCAGTCTCTGTTAGACAAGTGTTGTTGTTGGACTCTTTACCCTCTAGCAACAGCACTGACTGGTCTTTGACATCATCTGCCTGTGTTAGAATAGAGAGAGAATGGCTTTGCAATAACTCTGACTGGGCTTTAATTTCTTCTTGTGCCAGAGCAGACTGAGAAGTTACCTCATCTATCTGTGCCTGGACTGACTGTACCCAATGCTGTAACTGCTCTTTGAGGGCGTTCATTCCTTGGTCCACCTTCTCCTGTCGGCCCTTCAGGTCCTCTAGTTGGTCTTGCGTCTCCCTGGCCATATTTTGCCTCTCACTGCCCCTCTTGGAGGGAGCACGGCGACCCTGCATGTACCCCTCAAACTCCTCTGGGCTAAGGTTGAGTGCTGGTCCATCCAGCTTCTCAATGAAGGCCACTGCGCAACACTACATTAGAACAAAATGATAAAATTACCAAAAACGGACTGTCGTAATCTCAGCACAAATCGTTCAAGACTATGTACAATCAACTAATGTACAGTACGCATGTACATATTATTAGCTCACCAAATTGGTGAAGTAGTAGCCACTCTCTCCTGCCATCAGGCTGTGTGGTAGGCCGAAGCGGATCACATACTGCATGTTGGAGTGAAGCCGGGGTGGGTTGGCCTTTAGTACCACGTAAATCAGGCCAGACAGGAAGTCGTCAGCATTTGCTGGCTCACTATTGGAAGTGGAGAGAGCCTGGAAGACATTCTGACTGCACTTACATATGCATGTAAGCTTGTCCTGTGGCGCTCGCTTGGCATCCATCTCGATTATGGCTGGGAATTGTGAGTAACAGTTAGTACACAGGTGGAATTTGAAAAGGTCTAGACATTTTTTAGTTAAACTAATTTAGTCATTTGGCTTTCTTCATAATTACATTTCAGTGTTGCTAGTGTCATATTTTATCCAAATAAAGGAACACTGTCTTCCATTAACAAAATAAGTCACCTGTTATAGCAGGTAGAAAGGGATCGCTGACAACCTCGGCCCTCTCATCAGGGAAAGGCACCCTCAGCATGTGGGGGGTGACCCAGTTTAAGGACCTGTCAAAGTTTAATTGAAATTAAAAACAATGGTGAACTAAGTTGAATCACAATACTAGTCATTAAAATTGCTAAGATAGGTCTTGGTGATGCTAGATAGACTATGGTCAGGGGAAGGGTTTTGGTAATAATGTTAGACTATGTGCAAACAAGGTTATGAATGGCAGTCTGACCGTATCCTCCTCTGGAGTGCCAAGTCTTTCACTTCATCGTCACAGCTGTCATGGCAGAACACCCACTTATGCAGACGCGTCATGATCAGCTTCTCAATGTGCTCCATCATCTGAGAGACCTGAACCTCTGACAGACCTACCAATACAGCAGACACAGTGAACAAGTATGTGAAGTTGGGGAATAGGCTAGAGAGTCAGTATGCTAAGTGTTCAGTGCAATACGTTGTGTAATGAGACTGATATTCAAGAACGAACAAAATTATTGTCTTCATGTTAAGTGAACAAACATTATAGGCCCACAATAATTAACATAAAATGGGAACCCACACAGCAGCTCAGAAACAGCAAAATGGCCTCATTACTCACTACTGAAATGCACAGCGATGTTCTGGTAAAAGTCTTGAACAAGGTCAGATTGCTTCTGCACTGGCAGGCCCTGCAGCAGGAAAGAAAATATAACAATAACATGAAATAAGTGAGAGGCTTTATTCAAACTTCAAATATCAGGAGAAAAGAAAAGAAGCAGCACAAGAAGCAGGTAAGGAATCTAAACTTGACAATTAGAAAAGGCAGTTGAGAGGGCTGTAAAAACAGAAGTTGAAAGAGAAAAGTAATTGCAGAGATAACAGAGTGGTGATAACAGAGAGGAAGGAAGCACATTACATGGTAAGCCTCCATGGTGTTGAGGAAAGCGGTGCAACGGGACTGCAGACGCTGAGAGGATGGGTTCCTCAGCAGCTTCAGGAAGCTGGTAAAGTCCCCTGGCTCAATGCTCTGATAGGCTTTTAATGTAGCCGCCTGGCCCTCTGAAGACTCTAAAAGGGCATAAGAGGTCTCATAAGATCAGCTATTACGGCGTTGGCTAAACATGTTTTTGCTTAGTATCACTTCAGATTATAGCGTAATGCACATTAAAATACTCATACAGTTGTGGAAATGACATAACCGTTTTCAATGACTGAACTGAGAGGAAGTGCAGAGGGAATCACCTGGGCGTTTAGGAGGGGACGGTCCACCCCAGAAGAGCCTCCTCATCGTGTTAACTTTGCGACCCTTCTCCATATTCTTCTTCTCTTCAAATTTGGAAAAGGTGAGGGGAGAACCTGCATCATTGTGGGGCCTGACAGCAGGGAACAACAAAAAGGAAACATTTGAATATTTCCCAGATCGAAAGACAACGGTCTCTGGTGGACTTGTTTAGCCAATATTTATGAATGACAATAAAACCTTTACCCAGTCTCCTGCCTGACAGCCTCTTCTTTGCGGGTTCGTTCTCGCCAGCACTTGGAGCAAAAGCCCTGCCATGCAGGGTTACCATAATAACCACACGCATCCTTGCAGAGAAGCTCTGCTTGAGTGACTCTGATCCCTCTTTGCTGCTCCGCCGCCATACTTCAGCACTCTTTTACTCCCACCTGGTGACATAGGAAATACATAATTGTTTAACTGTGTTGAACAACTCCTAGACAAACATATATAAAGAAAGTAAATACAAACACAGTAGTGGAAATACATGGATTTGTTACATAGCATAGATGCAATGGAGTCAAATCCTCCCCTCCCTCCCAAAAAATGTGGTCCTCCACTTAACTGTCCATTTGTTATTCTGGTTGTGGAATTATCCAAAATTGTTGTAGTTAGATCAAATCCTAACCCTGAGTAATATAACGATGATCAAATAGCTAGATCAACCTTTTCATAATAAAGATTCCCAGTAAACGATTAATAAAATATCTAACATCATGCCAGTTAATCGAGCACAACCACGGATTCTTAGCTACTTTTAGCAACGCATGTGTACTTACATACACTAGCGTTGCTTTCAATTGAATTGTTTTGCACAGAAACAGACCGCGGGAATCCAGAAGTTAAATACAATTGCATTTCAATTTACTGTGCCGATCCTTTAGATATTTTGTCTCAAATTCCCCTCGTCATAATGACCGACCGTCCTGCCCACAGTTTAAATGGAATTGTATTTAACTTCTGGCTTCCCGCGGACTGTTTTTGTTCAACCTAATATAATCTTAAGCAAAGCTAGTGTATGTAAATACACGCGTTGTTAAAACCAACTAACTGATTCAGACGTCTTGTCTGACAGTAAAAAAATACATATTCCTTACTTGGCAAAATAAAGTAATGTTCAGCAAAGCAGTCCTATTCCTGGTAAGATAAAAGAACGTGTCGCACTTCAGCAGTTGTCCTCCTAACGTTACCACTACTTCAGCTATAAAGTTTAAGTTAGTCCAAATTCAAAACCTAGTCATCTAATCCATTAAATATAGACTCAGAGAGAGAAAGCTAACTAACTACCTGTTCAAATTAGTTAACCATTACATTAGCTAGCTAATCAAGAAATTACATGGAGAGTTTACAGCTGGTAGCTAGTTTGTTGTGCTAACGTTCACAAGCTAGTTCGAGATGGCTACTTATATATCATGCAAACATTTTAACTACACATATCCAAAACCCAAATTATTCCATATTCTTCGATTATAATAACTATAACTAACACATTTTGATAGCTAGCAAGAAAACGACTTACTTTGGAAGCTTCCCTTGGTTGGTTGACCGACGTGACGTGATGACGTGTCATCAGCTGCCTGCCTGATGACCCCATAGAATTAGAATACTAGAATGTTCATGAATCTTCTTATGATGGGATAAAAGGTCAGCCATGTTGGTCCGCTTTCCAGCGGATCACTTTTGTCATGAGTTGACCGTCTTTCAAAGTGTGTTGCATTATGGGTATTAACATTGTCTGATTTACGACTAAATGGCTACTGCAGAAATCATGTGATCAGGTCATGCAGTTTTTATGAGATCGCCTTCAAAGTTGCTTCTGCACCATGCAGCCATCACCTGCATTGTGGGAAGCACTATTTTTCAACCAATCATAAGGGTGTTTTGGTTTGACCCACGCGAACGTGGCCAAAGAAATGTCTGAAACAGGTACCAACTTTTCTGCAATTCTAAAGCTACAGGGGATACAAATTAAATGTATATTTGAGACCTAATTTCTAACCAATTAATTGTACACACAAGTTATGTTTTCAGTTTTTGAGTGTGTGATATGGGGGTATAGAAAAGTTGATTTCGACATTTATACAGAAATACTTTTATAAACAGTAGCAGCTGTGTTGACACTGCCATGTTGATCTGAGCCTTAATGTTGGAAAACCACTAGTGTCTGACTTTTGGCTGTGGCCGATGCACCTACCACGACTTCACTCTCTGTCCTTTGTCTACAGTTGGCATCCTTAGGCTTACTGCTGGAACACACCCATTGTCTTAAAGGTGCACTATGCAGAAATCTCACCACCATTTCCTGGTTGCAAAAATTCTAATAGTTCGCCTAATTTCAGTTTATGTGACAAAACAAGCAAGTGTAGTGTAGAGAATCATTGTACCATCAAAACCGCTGTGAAACATTTTTTACATAACCAAAAATATATTATTTTCAGCTGGTGTAGAAAACTGAAAGTAAAATACAAAAACGAAACTTAACGGGAAGCATAGACTTGCTTTCAATGAGAATGACAGATCTACATACTGCAGCTTTAAGTAGTTGAACATGTTATTACTCCAACCTCAAACTGACACGTTTTCATTTTCGTCAATAACAACTTTATATCGAAGGAGAGCCTTTAGTTTGACGTCCTGCAGTTTGCCACGATGATGTGTTTCTGCGTATGACCTTAACTAGCCAACCTCACCATGACATCGCCTACAAGTGTGATCGGGGATTTCTATTGGGAAAAGCAGTTTCCGCCTATCTTCCACAGGAGGCTGCTAAGGGGAAGACGTCTCATAATAATGGCTGGAATGGAGTAAATGGAATGGTGTGTTCAATATCATTCCATTGATTCCGTTCCATCCGTTACTATGAGCCCGTCCTCCCCAATTAAGGTGTTACCGGCCGCCTGTGCTATCTTCATACTGTACTGTCTTTGGTGTAATCATTACTCTGATTCAGTCACTGAGGTATAATAAGAACTGGAGACTGCGTCCAAGATGTCCGCCCATTGTTTTCAATCTACTCACGTTCGCATACGCCAATTCATGGACCGTCTATATCCTGATTGCATCTGGTTTATATGGACCAACATCACATGTGCACTAGCACTCAGAGTTGCCAACAATTTTTCAAGGAAAGTAGCTGTTGGTTGCTCCATTTGTCGCTAGATGACGCGCATGCGCATTACATTTATAAAAGTCTCCAAAGCAAAACTAAATAGAATGTTTGAAGGAGAACAAAAAGGAAATTATTAAATAATTAAACAGCACAGAATAAACTAAGGTAGATAACTTGTTTAGAAAACTTTTTTTTTTTTTATTAAGGCCTGATTGGTGGAGTGCTGCAGAGATGGTTGTCCTTCTGGAAGGTTCTCCCATCTCCACAGAGGAACTCTGGAGCTCTGTCAGAGTGACCATCGGGTTCTTGGTCACCTCCCTGACCAAGGCCCTTCTCCCCCGATTGCTCAGTTTGGCCGGGCGGCCAGCTCTAGGAAGAGATTTGGTGGTTCCAAACTTCTTCCATTTAAGAATGATGGAGGCGGCCTAAGGCACTGCAGTGCTTGAGGCTTCACTACAGATCCGGGGGAGAAGTTGTGCACTACCAGCCTAAGTGTTTACATACACTTAGGCTGGTGTCATTAAAACTCGTTTTTCAACCACTCCAAAAATGTCTTGTTAACAAACTATAGTTTTGGCAAGTCGGTTAGGACATCTACTTTGTGCATGACACAAGTAATTTTTCCAACAATTGTTTACAGACAGATTATTTCACTTATAATTCACTGTATCACAATTCCAGTGGGTCAGAAGTTTACATACACTAAGTTGACTGTGCCTTTAAACAGCTTGGAAAATTCCAGAAAATGATGTCATGGCTTTAGAAGCTTCTGATAGGCTAATTGACATCATTTGAGTCAATTGGAGGTGTACCTGTGGATGTATTTCAAGGCCTACCTTCAAACTCAGTGCCTCTTTGCTTGACATCATGGGAAAATCAAAAGAAATCAGCCAAGACCTCAGAAAAAAAATTGTAGACCTCCACAAGTCTGGTTCATCCTTGGCAGCAATTTCCAAACGCCTGAAGGTACCACGTTAATCTGTACAAACAATAGTACGCAAGTATAAACATCATGAATCATTAGATCATTTGTTTTGGAACTGTCCATTTGTAGCTTGATTTTGGACACAGGTCCAGGAATGGCTAAAGGATTGCAATATTTACCTGGAGCTAACCCTGCAGATAGCACTACTGGGTGATCTGAAAAGTCATAGTCAATCGATCAATAATATAATACTTTTAGCAAAAATGTTCATTTTCAATTTACAATCTGTAGAAACAATGAGAATAGAAAGGTTCAGAACTTTTGTAAAACATCACAGTACAGTTGAAAAATATATGGCAAATAGAAATCCAATATGGATGGTGTTAAGAGATAGATGGGTGGTGTTGAAGGATGGGACTAATAACAACTAACAACAACTAATAACAACAAGATAACTAATGTAAAGCATACTGTGTCCATAATAAGTATATAGGTTATAGGTTGAGAGCTTTTGTGAAAGAGCACAGTTAGAAAGATATGGCATATAGAAGCAAACCGGATGGACATCATGAAAATGATCAGAGAGGTTGAGGGTAGAGGAAGTTCAGGAGTAAAAACAAACAAAATATAATTATTGTAAAATTGACTGTGTCCATAAAATGTATATAGTATGTATAAGCTGGAAGTAGAGGCCTAAGCGTTCTTGTTCACTATTTTACTCCAATTGGGGAAGGGGTGGTGGGGTTGGAAAGTAATAAAGGGAAATACTTTTTTTTAAAGGATATGTTAATGTATATTTGTGTATATATATGTATACGTGTGTGTGTGTGTGTGTGTGTGTGTGTGTGTGAATTTATTTATTTGCGAGAAGAAAAAAAACCATATAGGGGATTGGAAGTGATGCAGACAATTACATTGATGGAAGTTACAATCTATCTGCAATATTAAAGCTGATCTACCCCCTAAAAAAAGAAGGAAGAAAAGTATAAACACCATGGGACCACGCAGCCGTCATACCGCTCAGGAAGGAGATGCGTTCTGTCTCCTAGAGATGAACTTACTTTGGTGCGAAATGTGCAAATCAATCCCAGAACAACAGCAAAGGACCTTGTGAAGATGCTGGAGGAAACGGGTACAAAAGTATCTATATCCACAGTAAAACGAGTCCTATATCGACATAACCTGAAAGGCCGCTCAGCAAGGAAGAAGCCACCGCTCCAAAAAAAAAGCGAGACTACGGTTTTCAACTGCACATGGGTACAAAGATTGTACTTTTTGGAGGAATGTCCTCTGGTCTGATGAAATAAATAGAACAGTTTGGCCATAATGACCATCGTTATGTTTGGAGGAAAAAGGGGGTCGCTTGCAAGCTGAAGAACACCATCCAAACCGTGAAGCACGGGGGTGGCAGCATCATGCTGTGGGGGTGCTTTGCTGCAGGAGGGACTGGTGCACTTCACAAAATAGATGGCATCATGAGGAAGGAAAATTATGTGGATATATATAAAAGCAACATCTCAAGACATCAGTCAGGAAGTTAAAGCTTGGTCGCAAATGGGTCTTCCAAATGGACAATGACCCCAAGCATACCTCCAAAGTTGTGGCAAAATGGCTTAAGGACAACAAAGTCAAGGTATTGGAGTGGCCATCACAAAGCCCTGACCTCAATCCTATAGAAAATGTGTGGGCAGAACTGAAAAAGCGTGTGCGAGCAAGGAGGCCTACAAACCTGACTCAGTTACACCAGCTCTGTCAGGAGGAATGGGCCAGAATTCACCCAACATATTGTGGGAAGCTTGTGGAAGGCTACCCGAAATGTTTGACCCAAGTTAAACAATTTAAAGGCAATGCTACTAAATACTAATTGAGTGTATGGTAAACTTCTGACCCGCTGGGAATGTGATGAAAGAAATAAAAGCTGAAATAAATCATCCTCTCTACTATTATTCTGACATTTCACATTCTTAAAATAAAGTGGTGATCCTAACTGACCTAAGACAGGGAATTTAAACTGAGTTTAAATGTATTTGGCTAAGGTGTATGTGAACTTCCGACTTCAACTGTGTATATAGACAGATGTGTGCCTTTCCAAATCATGTCCAATCAATTTAATTTACCACAGTTGGACTCCAAGTTGTAGAAACATCAAGGATGATCAATGGAAACATGCATCTGAGCTAAATTTCGAGTATCATAGCAAAGGGTCTGAATACTTATGTAAATAAGGTATTTGTTTGTTTTGTTAAAATAAATTTGCAAACATTTCTAAAAACCTGTTTTTGCTTTGTCATTATGGGGTATTGTGTGTAGATTGCTGAGGATAAAATAAAAAAAGGTAATCTATTTTAGAATAAGGTTGTAACAAAATGTAGAAAAAGTCAAGGGGTCTGAATACTTTCCGAAGGCACTGTGTGTGTATATATATATATATATATCTCATTGGTGCACACACAGGCAGCAGCCGCAGAGAGGGAGCAGACTGCAGAGCGGGCACACACACAAACGGACAGGGAAGCCACTAAATCAACCAGAAGTTGCTGGGGCAACCTTAAAAAGTAGCCACATTTGTCGCTATAGTCTTTTAACAATAAAAGTTGCTGGAGGTGTTTGAAAACTCGCTAAATCTATTGACAAATTTGCTAAGTGGGCAACACTGCTAGCACATAGTGCGCACAGGGAGCAACGATGACGTCATCCAAAAACATGGCAGACATTGGATGAATATAAAATGTTAATATGAAAAATAGTCATCACCTTTGTGCACAAAAAATCCATTGAATTATTAAACTGGTAGCTGAGGCAGATTTTTGTATGTATGTATGTACAGTGGGGAAAAAAAGTATTTAGTCAGCCACCAATTGTGCAAGTTCTCCCACTTAAAAAGATGAGAGAGGCCTGTAATTTTCATCATAGGTACACGTCAACTATGACAGACAAAATGAGGGAAAAAAATCCAGAAAATCCCATTGTAGGATTTTTAATGAATTTATTGGCAAATGATGGTGGAAAATAAGTATTTGGTCAATAACAAAAGTTTCTCAATACTTTGTTATATACCCTTTGTTGGCAATGACACAGGTCAAACTTTTTCTGTAAGTCTTCACAAGGTTTTCACACACTGTTGCTTGTATTTTGGCCCATTCCTCCATGCAGATCTCCTCTAGAGCAGTGATGTTTTGGGGCTGTCGCTGGGCAACACAGACTTTCAACTCCCTCCAAAGATTTTCTATGGGGTTGAGATCTGGAGACTGGCTAGGCCACTCCAGGACCTTGAAATGCTTCTTACGAAGCCACTCCTTCGTTGCCCGGGCGGTGTGTTTGGGATCATTGTCATGCTGAAAGACCCAGCCACGTTTCATCTTCAATGCCCTTGCTGATGGAAGGAGGTTTTCACTCAAAATCTCACGATACATGGCCCCATTCATTCTTTCCTTTACACGGATCAGTCGTCCTGGTCCCTTTGCAGAAAAACATCCCCAAAGCATGATGTTTCCACCCCCATGCTTCACAGTAGGTATGGTGTTCTTTGGATGCAACTCAGCATTCTTTGTCCTCCAAACATGACGAGTTGAGTTTTTACCAAAAAGTTATATTTTGGTTTCATCTGACCATATGACATTCTCCCAATCCTCTTCTGGATCATCCAAATGCACTTCAGACGGGCCTGGACATGTACTGGCTTAAGCAGGGGGACACGTCTCGCACTGCAGGATTTGAGTCCCTGGCGGCGTAGTGTGTTACTGATGGTAGGCTTTGTTACTTTGGTCCCAGCTCTCTGCAGGTCATTCACTAGGTCCCCACGTGTGGTTCTGGGATTTTTGCTCACCGTTCTTGTGATCATTTTGACCCCACGGGGTGAGATCTTGCGTGGAGCCCCAGATAGAGGGAGATTATCAGTGGTCTTGTATGTCTTCCATTTCCTAATAATTGCTCCCACCGTTGATTTCTTCAAACCAAGCTGCTTACCTATTGCAGATTCAGTCTTCCCAGCCTGGTGCAAGTCTACAATTTTGTTTCTGGTGTCCTTTGACAGCTCTTTGGTCTTGGCCATTGTGGAGTTTGGAGTGTGACTGTTTGAGGTTGTGGACAGGTGTCTTTTATACTGATAACAAGTTCAAACAGGTGCCATTAATACAGGTAACGAGTGGAGGACAGAGGAGCCTCTTAAAGAAGAAGTTACAGGTCTGTGAGAGCCAGAAATCTTGCTTGTTTGTAGGTGACCAAATACTTATTTTCCACCATAATTTGCAAATAAATTCATTAAAAATCCTACAATGGGATTTTCTGGAATTTTTTTTCTCAATTTGTCTGTCATAGTTGACGTGTACCTATGATGAAAATTACAGGCCTCTCTCATCTTTTTAAGTGGGAGAACTTGCACAATTGGTGGCTGACTAAATACTTTTTTTCCCCACTGTATGTATATGAATTTTCAAATCTGACTTCTATGTGGCTGTATATGGAAATTGTATTTCTTTCTTCTTTCAGTAAAACTGCAGTAACGAAACAAAACTGTATGAGTAGTTGAAACCGTGCTTCTAGACAAGAACCCTGGCCCCTTAGATTCTGTTGCAAAACGTTTTGCAACAGAAGCAGTTTACTCAAAAGAGTTTCTATTGGACAAATTCCGGTAGGTCCCTCCCGGTTTCGTTCTGTTTGGTTCTTAAAACGGTAAATGAATACGGTTTCAGTAATGAATACGCCCCGACGACACCATAAAAACGTGTTGTCTGTTTTTAAATCAAACTTTGAAATTAGTTTTCACTTCACAAATTGTTCAAGGGTATAAAAAATAATCTGAATGTTAGTATTAGTGGATGGAAAAATGTAAAGGAATTCATATTAAGGAATATTAGGCCAACTTTATTTATAATGAACAAATTATTCTGTATTTTAAAGTATCAAAAACATGCTTGTGCAAATGGTGAGATGTCTACAATTTGTTTTTTTAAATGTCACATCTTTTGTGATCATAAACCCAGAGCCATATGCTGCATTCATGACAAGTCGTAAACTCAAACAATTTTTTTTGCGTTGAGCTTCCTATTGGTTGATTGTGGTACTTTCCAAGTGGGAAACTCTGGTATCATCATCGTTTCCAAGTCGGACATTTGAGTTTCCTCATTCCGACATGTCATGAATGTAGCATTAGCTCTGCCTAAACCTGGGTGGCCAATCGGTTGCATTGGTGTGGTGTAGGCTTTTGTTCATTGTTTTACTTTGATTCGTTCAATCAGGTGTGTTGCTGCTTGGCTGAAACAAAAACCTGCACCCACACCAACCCTCTGTGGATTTGAGTGACCATTCCTGGCCTAAACCAACATTTCCCCTTGACATAACCTGCAGTTTAACAAGGAAGGTGATAATACAGTAATACCTGATCAAAATAAATGCTTGGTAATCTTTAAATAAAACTTTACTTTTACAAATGTCCATGTACAGTATTAATTTGCATGTCACGTTGATGGCTTGAGTTTCTTCTTCTTTGACTTGACCATCTGGGGTAATGGAACTTTGAAGGCAGTCCTACAAGTTAAAGGAATTTAAAGATGACTAAACAAATGTGCGCAAGACCCACTTGTTCCTACTTCCCCCAATGTCTATATTACAACAAGAGTAAAGGTATTTAGTACTCACTCGCAAGTTGTGCAGATGGGACTGAAGTTGCAGAATACGTTAAGAGAAAAGGGTCATTATGACTTAAAATGAATAAAACTGCACATTTTCACCACATTTATACAATGAGAAAACAAAATATAACTCACTTGACAAACACACTGAGCAGACATAACCAATCTCAATTAGGTTTCTGTGGCAAAAACATACTGCTTGGTAATCCACATGGACAGGAGGTGGCAGCACCAGTTGGGAGCGTTAGTCAGAGTCTGGCAAGAATACCCACTACACGGAAAAGACTGAATGTAACCAACATCACACAAAAAAAATATAAAAGATAAAAGTGAATCAATCTTTATCTTCTTTATTTTTTTATAATCCTCACCAGAAGATATTGTGCCAAGGCAATCTTCTGTGGTATTTTCAAGTACAATCCTCCAGTTATGTCACAGGCATGTTGAGACAAATACAGTAGCAAATGGTGAACCTTCTAAAACTGTTTGTGCTCATCTATGTGACATAAAGCAATCAAAACTTACCTGTTGGAGACCCGAGTCAGAGTCCAACACACAGGCATATATTAGGATGTTCTGTAACAAGACAAAATAGAAGCACAGTTTCTTTATTAAACATATGCCAGCGGAAGAATAGAAAACATGCTAAAAGGAAGCCAAAGCTGAGAAAGAATTTTACCTGCTTCTGGGCAGCGAAGATCACATTCATGAAGTTCATGTTTTGCAAGGCACAGTCTTCTGTTGCTTTTATGACCTAATCCGCTAAGACACAAAACAAACATTAACACATTTACATTTTAGTCATTTAGCAGACACTCCAGAGCAACTTACAGTTAGTGAGTGCATAAATCTTTTCATACTGGCCCCCCGTGGGAACCGAACCCACAACCCTGGCGTTACAAATGCCATGCTCTACCAATTGAGCTACAGAGTAGGCTACACTTTTTAAACTGACTCCAGTGAGGTCTTACCAATATCTTTGACTTAATTTCTTGTCCGGCTGAAAAAAGCACAGAAACATATGACTGAAAACCATGACAGGTATAATGACCATTACAGAATTGTCAGATTAAATCTGATGGAATTTATAAAGACTTTATTAGCCTAGTAATTGAAATGCTCTGAATACCTTCCAGCTCCTTTGTGACTCGGTGGATATCTGAATATTTAAAGTAAAAGAAACATACTTATGTCTTGCAATAAAATGCAAATTAATTACTTAAAAATCATACAATGTGATTTTCTGGATTTTCTCTCACAGTTGAAGTGTACCTATGATAAAAATTACAGACCTCTACATGCTTTGTAAGTAGGAAAACCTGCAAAATTGGCAGTGTATCAAATACTTGTTCTCCCCACTGTATATGCGTCCTGACACTAATGCCTTTAAAATCGTGTAAATGTTCCTTTTGTCAGAATGTTAATGTTAAATGTAATTTTATTAAACTTACTCTACCGGTTGTCTGTGCGGTTTGTCCTTCAGCTGCTCGAAATTTGATACAAAATATCCACAGGAAAGTATTATTTACCTGACCTTTTAGAGAGCCTGTAGGTTTATAGTTCGGTAAGGCAATGAGGTAAAGTTAGTTTTATATTGGATATTCAGTTTTCTCTCGTCAATAGCTATTGAACCAAGCATGCCATGACAATGAAAATGGTATATTCTAGGGCTGGGCGGTATACCGTATTTTACGATACTGGTTTGGGTTTTTACTTCGCTTTCTATAACGGTATTTGAATGTTTGGTTTGTTAAATGTAAAACGCCATGTGTAACGTCCATTTTTATAGCTTACTCTGCTACTTCAGTCATCTCTCTGCTCTCTCTCCATGCTGCTTTCCACACAGACCTAGCCCCACCCCCTGTCACTCAAGGAGTGCATTTGTTGTTGCTTGACCACTAGACGCTTGCGTTTAGTCTGCATGGTCAATGCAGCACAAACAACAATGTTGATGACAACGATGCTGTTTTCACTTTGCTTCTTAATATAAATCCACTAGTGTTCTATAAATCACACTATTAGTTTGTGTTTCTTACATTTGCAAACAGCTAGTTTGTCTTTTCTTAGCAATTTGGGCCTAAATCGTGTTAGCCGCTAATGCTAATCAAAAGGGGACTATCGCGCTCTCCCAGAAGCTTGGCTGGTGCGTAAAACCCGCAAATTCAGACAAAAGCTGTAATGGGTCCGCACTCAAAGATATCGCATAAAGCTTACTTCATTTTTCTATTTTTATTTTATTTTCACTGCATCAGGGATACACAGATGTTTCGGCTTTGCAGCCTTCTTCAGTGTGTAGGTAAGCTATTAGCTAGCTAATAAATGTACTGAGTCAGAGCAAACATAACTAGCTATACAGCCTGATAATACCAGTGTGTAGACCTAAATCAGCATGTTGTATGTGCAACAGTATCTTCTAAATCAAAGAGGAATAAGCGAAGCATGAATATGTTGGCTACATGAAGTAGCTAAGACAAAACATTTAAATGTAGCCAAAGATTATAGGGTCCCCTAGGAAACACTTATCAACACTTTGGTTCCTACCCTGTCACAATAACTCCTCCCTGGCATTTTCATTCATTGTCATGTCAAACACTGTGTTCAAAGTGCCAACTATTATATTCTAACTATAGAATTAGAATAATCATTATATTTCCATGATTCCAACAGTTCACAAGTCATATCGCAATTGCAGCATTTGATTAAAAAGAATGCCTAGATAGTTTGCCCATATCGTGCAGCCCTACATGGCAGTGTGGAAATGATTTCAAATGAGTGGAGGAAATGCAGAAACTTATGAAAATGCTGAAAATAGTTTTGGGTTGAATTGAACAGAACAGTATAAAACAATCAGAATGGAGAAAAACCCATTGAAATCACTTAGAATGTATGTGTTGCCACCCTAGGGTCACACATTACTCATAAAGCACTTTTTTAAAATTTTATTATTTTATATATATCATCGAATACCATCTTTTTTAAAATAAATACTGTGATATGATATTTCGGCCATATCGCCCAGCCCTAGTATATTCTGAACCGGGGGAGGTTGGAGAACAATCAGCACTTTTTTGTGTGTGTTTTTATTTATTTATTCCGATTTCAATCAACAAATAAAAGAATGAGGACAAAAAAAGACCATGTTGATTGTTCTCCATTCTTCCGTTATTCAGAATATACAATTTTCATTGGCATGGCATGCTTGGTTCAATAGTTATTTACGAGAGAACTGAATATCCAATATAAAATTAACTCCACCTCGGTGCCGGACCATATACCTACTGGCTCTCTAAAAAGTCGGGTAAACAATACTTTCCTGTGGATATTTTTTCTCAAATTTCGAGCAGCTGAAGTACAAACCGCACAGACAATCGGTAGAGTGTGTTTAAATGTAATTTTATTCAACATTCTGGCTTGTAAGGAACATTTACACGATTTTGAAGCCATTAGTGTCAGGCAGTATATACCAATTAATTGTGTATTACTGCCTGATTTAATCATACTAAGAAAGATTATGCTGCACTTACTTCTTGACATGAGATTCTTGATCTCTTCTACAATTAGGTCATTGGCAACTGACGAGCTCATACTTGCCATCCCCATTTGTTAATGCATTGTCATGACCATCTCCAGACTTCCAGAGTTTACAAGGATACAGAAAATGACTGCAGCATATGACGAGAAGGAGATATTTGTAATTAGATTGGAACATACTATCACTGGGGAGGGGGTGGGGAGTGCTTTGGGACGGGAGTGGGGCCCACGGCAGCATCCGCTGTTTGTTGAGAAGAGTAAGAACGATACATGCTTTCACGTCAGTCTCCAATAACACCAGAAAAAGTCGCTAGTTTTGTCGCTAGTCCAGTCGCTTTTTTGAAAATGTGTCGCTAGAGGGGTCTGAAAACTCGCTAAATATAGTTGACAACACTGTAACTCATCACCATGACAGCATCGACATTTGGACAGGGTGAACAATGGGAAGGAGAAAGACAATCAAGCAAATTTCAGTGTAACTTCCCCTTTGAAGTGGAGTCTAGCGCTGTAGATATTTGCACAGAGAATAATACTAGTTAAATACCTGGGGTTCTCTATTAGCTTGCTGGCCCCACCATATGGGATTGACATCCACAACAATGACCAGAGGACTGACTTCATCCTCTGCAGAAAAACACAGAAGTTAGCTTAACAGCTATAACAGGTGGCTATTGTGTATATACTGCATTCTATAATATTCTACCTTATCTTAGTCCAATGCCGCTCTGTCATTGCTTGTCCATATGTATATATTCTTAAATTCCATTCCTTACTAGTTTTGTGTGTATTGGGTATATGTTGTGAAATTGTTAGATATTACTGCACTGTCGGAGCTAGAAGCACAAGCATTTCGCTACACCCGCTATAACATCTGCTAAACACGTATGTGACAATAATTAACTTATGCCTATTCATCATGCACTCATTTTATCTGTGATAAACTGTAGCAGTTCAACCTTACTGATTGCTAGCTAACGTTAGTTAGCTAAATTAGTAACACAAAGTAGACAATGTTAGCTAGCCAGCTAGCTTTTCAAAGCCTTCATAAAAACTCATTCAGTGCAAGCTTGTAAGCAATTGTTTTCACTAGATAAATGGTACACTCCCAATGTTAAAAAAATCTGAATTATTGTTTGAAATGACGCTTTATTAAAGTTAATCTCTCCATTTACCAGAAGCCATCCCCATAATATAGACAGCTAGCTAGCTAAATGATACTCAAGCGTGCCAAAATTAAAGCCCCGCCTATTTCGCGCAACAACAAAAAAAACAATGGTGATGTTCGTTTTGCATGGCCCGGTGCACCTGATGAGTGGATTGCTCTTGGTCTAAAATAACAACACTGCACTCCCCCGAGGCACCGGGCCATATGAAACGAATTTGACCAATGATAACTGAGTTATACGTCATCAAACTGCGACACCGGATACGCTATCCCAAAATGCCAACCGTCATATAAAATCCACAGAAGAAGAAGCCATCCCCAAAATTAACGAACGTTTACCAAAAAATCTGTAGCTATAAGAGTGACAGAATTAGCTAATAAACTTATTTTATACAAATCAAGGACTGTCTGTTCTCAGTACAAAACATAAGAAGCAACTCTTGAAATAGCGTTATCCGCGTCAGAGGAGGAAAAACGTGTCTGTTTCATCAGCTCGAGAAAGATAACGTTACATGGTAGTTAGCTAGTGTAGCTACATTAGTTGTCAACAATAATCCGCCTGGCATTTATTAGGTTAGCTGCCTAGAAAGTTTAATCTGTTCAAAGGTGTCATCAGGCCTGCTTCCTGCTTTTGTTGTGTCGACTTGTTTGACAGAATGGACAAAGATGGTGAGTTGAAGTCTTATTGATGAACTTGATGAGTAGACATACTAGACCCATATGGCCATAGATTCCTGCATTGTCTTGCCTGCCCTACAGTTGCTTTCATGGGGGTTGTTTCCATACGTGCACAACACTATCCATACAACTCTAAATAAAGGATAAGATTTTGAGTGAGAGTGTAATCAAGTATAATGTGTTTCCATTTGACTTTGACTTGCCCATGGCCATTTCCTTTCAGAGCTGGTGGAGTACTTCAGGACACAAGTGAGACAGGACCCTGAGGTGCCCTCTGCTGTGGCAGCTATCCGCACTCTCCTGGAGTTCCTCAAAAGAGACCAAAGTCAGATGTCTTTTAAATAACTTTTCTATCCTCCACTTGTTATACTGATATCTAGTGAATCAGAAGGCACATCTTTTGTCTGATGGTTACTGAATTCAAGATATTTTCCTCATCACTGCTGAAGAGTTTTTTAATTAGTAAGTTATTAGCAAACAGACAAGTTGTGGTATTGATTGGCTGATGCTTTATGTCCCTGAGCAGGTGAGACCATCCTGGGCCTGAGAGAGAACCTGACCCAGACCATTGGGCGTCTGGAGGAGGCTGACTCCTCTGTGGCTGTCTCGTCTGGTGGTGAACTGTTCCTTCGCTTCATCAGCCTCACGTCGCTGGAGCACCCTGTGAGTAGAGGGCCCTCACCTATCCTCCTTGCTGCAACGCCAAGGCTACTCTTATACACTCAGAGCCCACTTTAAAGTGATTTTACATGTATTCAATACGTGAGTAGCTTGAGTTGTCCAACGTAACATCATGATTTAAGATGTCATTTTCAGAAATATGAAGAGTTTTCTTTATCCCCCAAACAGGATCTTTCTCAATGCAAGAAAGTGATGGTAGAGAGAGGAGAGCTCTTTCTTAAGAAAATCTCCCTTTCCAGGAGTAAAGTAGCAAAACTCTGCCATACCTTTATCAAGGATGGAGCTGTAAGTATTTGTATTGAATTTTGTTTAATGAAGATTCCAAAACCCGCTCCACTGGGACACTCATGGTGATACTGCCTCTGACAAACACTGTTCCCTATTGTCATTCACAGAAAATACTGACACACTCCTCCTCCCGGGTGGTTCTTAAGGTACTGGAGAGTGCAGCAGCCGACAAGAAACGCTTACATTTACATTTACATTTTAGTCATTTAGCAGACGCTCTTAACCAGAGCGACTTACAGGAGCAATTAGGGTTAAGTGCCTTGCTCAAGGGCACATTAACGTCATTTAGCAGACGCTCTTAGCCAGAGCGACTCACAAATTGGTGCGTTCACCCTATAGCCAGTGGGATAACCACTTTACAATTTGGGGGGGGGGGGGGGGGTTAGAAGGAATACTTTATCCTATCCCAGGTATTCCTTAAAGAGGTGGGGTTTCAAATGTCTCCGGAAGGTGGTGAGTGACTCCGCTGTCCTGGCGTCGTGAGGGAGCTTGTTCCACCATTGGGGTGCCAGAGCAGCGAACAGTTTTGACTGGGCTGAGCGGGAGCTGTGCTTCCGCAGAGGAAGGGGAGCCAGCAGGCCAGAGGTGGATGAACGCAATGTCCTCGTTTGGGTGTAGGGACTGATCAGACCCTGAAGGTACAGAGGTGCCGTTCCCCTCACTGCTCCATAGGCAAGCACCATGGTCTTGTAGCGGATGCGAGCTTCAACTGGAAGCCAGTGGAGTGTGCGGAGGAGGGGGGTGACGTGAGAGAACTTGGGAAGGTTGAACACCAGACGGGCTGCGGCATTCTGGATGAGTTGTAGGGGTTTAATGGCACAGGCAGGGAGCCCAGCCAACAGCGAGTTGCAGTAGTCCAGACGGGAGATGACAAGTGCCTGGACCAGGACCTGCGCCGCTTCCTGTGTAAGGCAGGGTCGCACTCTCCGAATGTTGTAGAGCATGAACCTGCAGGAGCGGGTCACCGCCTTGATGTTGGCGGAGAACGACAGGGTGTTGTCCAGGGTCACGCCTAGGCTCTTCGCACTCTGGGAGGAGGACACAGCGGAGTTGTCAACCGTGATGGCGAGATCATGGAACGGGCAGTCCTTCCCCGGGAGGAAGAGCAGCTCCGTCTTGCCAGGGTTCAGCTTGAGGTGGTGATCCGTCATCCATACTGATATGTCTGCCAGACATGCAGAGATGCGATTCGCCACCTGGTTATCAGAAGGGGGAAAGGAGAAGATTAGTTGTGTATCGTCAGCGTAGCAATGATAGGAGAGACCATGTGAGGATATGACAGAGCCAAGTGACTTGGTGTATAGGGAGAAAAGGAGAGGGCCCAGAACCGATCCCTGGGGGACACCAGTGGTGAGAGCACGTGGTGCGGAGACAGCTTCCCGCCACGCCACTTGGTAGGAGCGACCGGTCAGGTAGGACGCAATCCAGGAGTGAGCCGCGCCGGAGATGCCCATCTCGGAGAGGGTGGAGAGGAGGATCTGATGGTTCACAGTATCAAAGGCAGCAGACAGGTCTAGAAGGACAAGAGCAGAGGAGAGAGAGTTAGCTTTAGCAGTGCGGAGAGTCTCCGTGACACAGAGAAGAGCAGTCTCAGTTGAATGACCAGTCCTGAAACCTGATTGGTTTGGATCAAGAAGGTCATTCTGAGAGAGATAGCAAGAGAGTTGGCTAAAGACGGCACGCTCAATAGTTTTGGAAAGAAAAGAAAGAAGGGATACTGGTCTGTAGTTGTTGACATCAGTGGGGTCGAGTGTTGGTTTTTTGAGGAGGGGAGCAACTCTCGCTCTCTTGAAGACGGAAGGGACATGGCCAGCGGTCAAGGATGAGTTGATCAGCGAGGTGAGGTAGGGGAGAAGGTCACCGGAGATGGTCTGGAGAAGGGAGGAGGGGATGGGGTCAAGCGGGCAGGTTGTTGGGCGGCCTGCAGTCACAAGTCGCAGGATTTTATCTGGAGAGAGAGGGGAGAAAGAAGTCAAAGCATAGGGTAGGGCAGTGTGAGCAGGACCAGCAGTGTTATTAGACTTAACAAACGAGGATCGGATGTCGTCAACCTTCTTTTCAAAGTGGTTGACGAAGTCATCCACAGAGAGAGAGGAGGTGGGGGGGGGGGGGGAGGAGGATTCAGGAGGGAGGAAAATGTGGCAAAGAGCTTCCTAGGGTTAGAGGCAGATGCTTGGAATTTAGAGTGGTAGAAGGTGGCCTTAGCAGCAGAAACAGATGAAGAAAATGTAGAGAGGAGGGAGTGAAAAGATGCCAGGTCGGTAGGGAGTTTAGTTTTCTTCCATTTCCTCTCCGCTGCCCGGAGCTCTGTTCTGTGAGCTCGCAGTGAGTCATCAAGCCACGGAGCTGGGGGGGAGGACCGAGCCGGCCGGGAGGATAGGGGACACAGAGAGTCAAAGGATGCAGAAAGGGAGGAGAGGAGGGTTGAGGAGGCAGAATCAGGAGATTGGAGGGAGAAGGATTGAGCAGAGGGAAGAGATGATAGGATGGAAGAGGAGAGAGTAGTGGGAGAGAGAGAGCGAAGGTTGCGGCGGCGCATTACCATCTGTGTAGGGGCAGAGTGAGTAGTGTGGGAGGAGAGCGAGAGAGAAAAGGAAACAAAGTAGTGGTCGGAGACTTGGAGGGGAGTTGCAGTGAGATTAGTAGAGGAGCAGCATCTGGTGAAGATGAGGTCAAGCGTATTGCCTGCCTTGTGAGTAGGGGGGGACGGTGAGAGGGTGAGGTCAAAAGAGGAGAGGAGTGGAAAGAAGGAGGCAGAGAGAAATGAGTCAAACGTGGACATAGGGAGGTTGAAATCCCCCAAAACTGTGAGGGGTGAGCCATCCTCAGGAAAGGAACTTATCAAGGCGTCAAGCTCGTTAATGAACTCTCCAAGGGAACCTGGAGGGCGATAGATGACAAGGATATTAAGCTTAAATGGGTTAGTGACTGTGACAGCATGGAATTCAAATGAGGAGATAGACAGATGGGTTAGGGGAAAAATTGAGAATGTCCACTTGGGAGAGATGAGGATTCCTGTACCACCACCCCTCTGACCAGATGCTCTCGGGGTATGCGAGAACACATGGTCAGACGAGGAGAGAGCAGTAGGAGTAGCCGTGTTTTCAGTGGTGATCCATGTTTCCGTCAGCGCCAGGAAGTCGAGGGACTGGAGGTTGGCATAGGCTGGGATGAAGTCAGCTTTGTTGGCAGCAGAACGGCAGTTCCAGAGGCTGCCTGCGACCTGGAACTCCAGGTGAGGGGTGCGAGCAGGGACCACCAGGTTGGAGAGGCAGCAGCCGCGCGGTGTTGTGCGTTGTTTGTGTAGCCTGCGCAGAGAGGAGAGAACAGGGATAGGCAGAGGCATAGTTGACAGGCTGTAGCAAATGGCTACAAAAATGCAGAGGAGATCGGAATGAAATGAGCTAAGCATCTGGGAGAGGAGAGAGGGGGGCCTCCCTCACCAAAAACTTCTACCTCAGAAACTAAAATTGTTTCACTGAACAGTTGTTCAATGTTTAAAGGAATAAACTCAAACCCACTTTATTCAGCTAGCCAACTATGACACCATAGCTGACTAGCATGCTAGCATCCAATAACACACAGTTTAACACACAGTTAAGCACAAATACTCACAACAAACCACCAATAGTGTGTTAACTAGCTAACCAGCATGCCAGCATCCAGTAACACACAGCCAAGCACAAACACTTGGTCACAGCAAACCACCAATAGTGTGATAACACACTAAACAGATCATTCGTGTCTGTGTCAAGTTCCTTTCATGGCGCAGCAATGATTCAACATTGGCTAGCTAGGACAAGTCTATGTCACTGAGTCTACACACAGGACAAGACTATGTCAGGACAAGACTATGAGTCTACACACAGGACAAGACTATGTCACTGAGTCTATGTCGCTTCACTGTCTATGTCACTGAGTCACAACCAGACTCTGCAGGGTGTGTGGTCAACACAAACACATGCATATGTCAAACTAAGTAAGTAAGTAAGCCCTAAAGAAGAACTTGAAAGACTATTCATGTGTACTCTTGTCTCTTTCCAGACAAAAAATGGCTGACAAATTACGGAAACTAAACATTCCGGTCACAGTGGTTCTTGATGCTGCAGTGGGGTAAATGTCTAAATCATTTCAGTTGATACATGAAATGATTACATAAATCAGATAGCCTAGCTCAATCACACCATGTTTCTTCGAAAGACCATATACAGTGCCTTCAGAAAGTATTTATACCTCTTGACTTATTCCACATTTTTGTTGTTAGTCTGAATTACATTGAAATTGTTTCTCACCCATCTACACACAATACCAGATAATGACAAAGTGAAAACATGTTTGCTAATTTATTTAATTAAATACAGAAATATCTCATTTACATAAGTATTCACACCCCTTTACTATGACACTCCAAATTGAGCTCGGGTGCATCCAATTGCCTTTGATCATCCTTGCGATGTCACTCCAACTTGATTGGAATACACCTGTGGCCAATTCAATTGTTTGGACATGATTTAGAAAGAAACACCTGTCTATATAATGTCCCACAGTTGACAGTGCATGTCAGAGCAGAAACTATACCATGAAGTCCAAGGAACTGTCCATAGATCTCTGAGAGAGAATTGTGATGAGGCATATATCTGGGGAAGGGTATAAAACAATTTCTATAGTGTTAAAGGTTTCCAAGAGCACAGTGGTCTCCATAATTCTGAAATGGAAAAAATATGGAACTACCCAGAGCTGGCCGTCCGCCCAAACTGGGCAAGTAGGACCTTGGTCAGGGAGGTAACCAAGAACCCAATGACCACTCTGACAGAACTACAGAGTTCATTGGCTGAGATGGGAGAACCTGCCAGAACAGTCTCTACAGCAGTTCACCAATCTGGGCTTTATTGGAGAGTGGCCAGACGGAAGCCAATCCTGAGGAAAAAGGCACGTGACAGCACGCCTGGAGTTTGCAAAAAGGCACATGAAAGACCGATCATAAGGAAAACGATTCTGTGGTCTAATGAGACAAAAATTGAATTTTTTTGCCTGAATGCAAAGCGCTATGTCTGGAGAAAACCAGGCACAGCTCATCACCTGTCTAACACCATCCCTACCTTGAAGCATGGTGGTGGCAGCAACATGCTATGGGGATGCTTTTCAGCGGCATGGACTGGGAGACTGGTAAGGATAGAGGGAACAATGAAGGGGGCAAAATACAGGAAAATCCTTGATGATAATCTGCTTCAGCATACAAACGACCTTAGACTGAGGCGAATATTTGCATTCTAACAGGACAATGACCCCAAGCATACGGCCAAAGCAACGCTGGAATGACTTCAGAACAAGAATGTGAAATTCCTTGAGTGGCCCAGCCACAGTAGCCTACTTGGCCACTGTTAAAAGTAACTTAAAGCGGGTACAGCCTCAGTGTTAACAGAATTTTCACAAAGTTGAAGTTTGCGCTCAGCAGACCTGAAATTTGCTTAGTGTTGAAAAAAATGTGAGGGAACATTGCTTATGTACATTGAACAAATGTGCTGAGGAGTATTTCTGTCTGTAATAAAGCCCTTTTGTGGGCGGAAAATGAATTCTGATTGGCTGAGCCTGGCTCCCCAGTCGTGAAATTCATAGATCAAGGCCTAATTTATTTATTTAAATTGACTGATTTCCTTATAGGAATTGTAACTCAGTAAAATATTTGAAATTGTTGTGTTTATATTTTTGTTCAGTATGAGAGATTTCTGTATTTCATATTCATAAATTTGCTAACATTTCGAAAAATATTTTCACCTTGTCATTATGGGGTATTGTGTGTGTGTGTGGATGGGTGAGATAATCTATTTTGAATTCAGGCTGTAACACTGGAATAAATCAAGGGGTATGAATACTTTCTGAAGGTACTGTAAATACCCTATGTTTTATCTATACCCACCTTTTGGATTTGCACAGGTAGCCTAAATTAACGAAGCAGTCAGTGAAATCTGTATTTTATTACAGTACTGAAAATGTTTTTTGTTAAAGGTATATCATGGAAAAGGTGGACCTGGTGATAGTGGGTGCAGAGGGAGTGGTGGAAAGTGGCGGCATTATCAATAAGGTATATTATGAATTGGATAACACACCATTCAGACACATTCTGGACAGTCTTATGTTAATGTCCTTGGATGTTACCATTTACAACACATAGCGTTTTACCCTATATTCTGCATGCAATTCACATGACAGATTGGCACCTATCAACTGGCTGTGTGCTCCAAGGCTCACAACAAGCCTTTCTACGTTGTGGCAGAAAGCTTCAAATTCGTCCGACTCTACCCTCTAAATCAGCAAGATGTCCCAGAACGATTTAAGGTAATAGCACCAAAATATGTTAATTTGACTGTATAGTGATAATGCTGTAGTTATTTGATGTCCTAACTAGTGGTTTCACTTTGCTCTCTGTATCTCCAGTATAAAGCAGACACACTGAAGGCAGTGGAAGACCTAGCAGAAGAACACCCCATGATTGACTACACACCGCCATCGCTGATTACTCTTCTTTTCACAGACCTGGGGGTTCTCACTCCTTCAGCAGTCAGTGATGAACTTATTAAGCTGTACTTGTAAACCACCACTAGAATACTGACAATAAACACCATCAAATGGATGAACTTGATGCAGATATGAACAAGTGAAGTCACCGTTCAATACGCATATCATTAATAATGTCAATTCCCCCAGTGAATCTGCCTTAAACAAACCAATAACACTTCTCTGGTGTGTGACTATTTACCCCCTACTTGTTTTACTGGAGTTTGAAAGGTTCTTCAGACCCATACCAGACTGTAAAAACCAGCAATCATACCGGCATACTGTATTAGTAACTTATTGCAAATTAGAAGTAATCAATCTCAAAAGGAAAAGGAGACTCTTCTTTTTATTATTATGAACAGGACTTGGGTCATAAGTTGGTCATCCATAGTTTAACTTCTCTGAAAGTTTGTCTGAGCTCCATCTCATGTGCGTTGGCTCAGATAAGTTATTCACCCCATTATGTGACCATTGTCATCCTCTGTACCCCAAATAACACAAACATCCCTTGAACATAAATACAAACTAGGAAGGAATCTGTACGAAACTGTCCTCATTTGATAAATAGAAATGCTCAAGTGACTTCTTCAAACTGGCAACAGCTCAGATCCCATACCAAGGCTTTTTTGTACTGCCCTTGCCCCAAAATGTAGAATCATTACTACAAAATATGCCATTACTTTGTACTTTCCCCATTAAATATGCATTGTGCGTACTGTGACTGATTGGCACGGGAAGTGTTAAAAAAAGTGTACATCAAGCGGAACAGTTGTCTAAATAAACACATTTAAAAAGAATAACATATCAAATACAACACTGGGCTTGGAATGATGTGTCCAGTGTGGCTCAGTTGGTAGAGCATGGCGCTTGCAACGGCAGGGTTGTGGGTTTGATTCCCACGGCGGACCAGTACAAAAATGTATGCACTCATTGCTGTAAGTCGCTCTGGATAATGCTATATGACTAAAATGTAAAAGTGAAAATATTTCCACCACCTACTCATTCTATCCACAGCTATAAGACGAGAAGAAAAGCTCATCCAGTGTTTTGGGGCGGTGGCTTTGAATGTGCAAATAGTCAAACCTTCCTTGATCAAAAATTAATAATACCCTCTTCAGTGCTATTGATGTCAAAGTCTGAGGAGTCAATGCGAAGACAGTTTTCCTCGAGTGGAAAAACATGCATATGTACCATGGTCTGAAGTACATGAACAGAAAGACAGGAGATTGGACAATGAAAAGTATTTTCAGATGTTTGATTTCCAATTTTGAAGTATGGTGCAGCTAATGGCTCAAGTGAATAGTAAATCATTTGAGTAAAAAATATATATTAAAAAAAGACTTGTTTTACACAACTCTCCGCACTTCGAAAAATCTCTTCAGGTAGTAGATCTGTCCAAGGGTCATGGCTACCAGCACAAGAGCTTCAAAGAAGGACCAAAGCACCACTCGGCTGTTTGTGTTGTCATTAACTAGAGGAGAGGAAAACAGGACAGTACATTAAACCACTACTGCCACTGAACAGTGCATTCACTAAGCTGTCAAAATTGGGTGTTCTTGACACAAATGCATGAAATGTTATGCAGTTTGAGATAGAGGTTATGTCGGTAGGTTTTCATTTTCTATGGAAATAGCACATTATACATGGCTGTTGTTGAAGAAGCAGCACATAAGCGGTCTTACTTGCTCTGTGTATCCTCTCTCGGACCTCCATGTATTCCTGCTCGTGTTTTACTGCTGTCATGGCAACTGCTAGCTCATTAATCATCTCTTCCAGCTTGTTCTGGTGGGCTGTGAACAAGAATTGAAAATTAACACAAGTAGTACAGTATACAACATTTTGCAGAGTCAAAGAAACCCCAAGAAGTACAGGCACATCCAGTAAAACGCACATCAAGGTTAGGTTTATTGTAGATGCTGGTCAAAGTGATGTAATGACTTTCAAGCAATAAAAAGTTGTGCAGGAAATGTTCGTACATCACACAAACGCCACCAGTAACAGTAAACTGTGACATCTCCATATCTCTACCAAAGCTTGGGTATACCCATTGTACAAAACATTTGTTAACTAACTAATCTTTACATTAACCTTACAAATACATTGTCAGATACATTGAAGTCATTCAACCCTGTCTTTAGTGCATCTTTAACATTTATAAAACATCTGCTGTAACAGAACAGACTTGGATTAACATAAAACTAAAGGCACCATTTGAGCTGGTAGTGCTGTGCAAACTGCTGCATTGACTGGACACAAGCGTACTGAATTGATACAAGATGTATTATTGAAACTGACCAACCAACACTTTCGAAAGACTGAGGGCAAAAGTAATTGACCCGAGTTGTTTACTGAATGCCCATATGGCAGAAGCTGAGGGGGGCATAAATTCCTAAATCTATTCACCCATCTTAAGTCATTGCCAGGCAGCAGGTGAGTGTCCATAAAGCAAATGAAAACAGCACAACCCAGGCAATTAATAAGACTAACTATGAAAATTGACTGTGTTAATTTTTCAATTCAGTGCTTGGGGTAAGCAACACTACAGAGAAGAGGCCAAGGGCATTGAAGAATGACCATCTCTGACCTCATGCAATAGTGTTAACCTACCGTCCCAGGTGTCTCCACCACCTGATGGGGGGGGGGAGAGCAGAATGAGAAAAGGAGGAATATGAAGGAAAACAGCGGGAGAAAATGAAAGTAGCACAAAGAGTCTTCCACAGAACCTAAAAATACATGGTGAGATTATATTCCTAACATCAGTCAGTGTGCCCAGAGCTCTACAGTGCGACCATTTTACTTGAATGTGTGCCTAAATATTTTGCAGTGCAATCTGGAATTTTTATTTAGGAGCACCAGTGCGCCTAGAAAAATTAAGGATTATTGCTTTATCACCAGAAATATTTTTCATTGTGCTCCTAAATTTCTTTGTGTGCACCTACATTTTTCAATGTAGGCGCACACTTGCTCCTTGTAAAAAAGGTCAGCGTTGAGCCCTGGTGCCATTGCTGCCTCTTCACCCCAGCCTACCTTCTGTCTCCATGCCGTCTCCCTTGGGGGCCTCTCCAATGTCAATGGTGAACATGACGATCTTGGGTGTCATGGTGGACATCTTATTGCTGAAGCAAAACTTGTACGTGCCATCCATATGGGCAGCCACAGAGTACTTCCCACTGGATTCTCGGTCTCCTTTGTAAATCTGCTTCCCATCTGGACCTGTGATCTGCAAATGAAAAGTACCTTCTTAGTCATTGACAATCTATTAAACATTAGGCATAAAGGTAGCTAGTTACCCATGTTTTGACTGGACAGCATCAGATAGTCAATATATGCTCACCACCACCATCAGTACTAACTCAGATATGATCAATAGCCCTAACATGAAATCATCCCTTGGCTCCTGATTATTAACAAAATCCCCTGATAGTCTCGCACTCTGTCAACCAAGAGAGTAAAGCTAGCTAACGTAGAAAGCTTGCTCGCTAGCCATATGGCACAATTTGAGTGACGTTTGGAAGCATAGCTAGCTAGGCTAACGACGTTAGCTAGCTAAATTGTTAATGTTTAGCTAGTTTGGCCCATGATTTGCCAAACCTAGCTAACAGCTGTGGGGCATAGTGTCACCCTCAATTAGATTAAGAAAGATGGCACCTTTCACAACTCAGACCTTACCTCCACATCGATGTCTAGGAAACCTCCTTCGGCCACCTCAAACATGAGGCCCATCTTGGTACCAGAGTTGACTCGTTCAAAGAAACACTCTTCTGCATGAGCGTCGATGCTTACGAAGTAACCTGACGCCGTGGCGGATAACATAGCTAAAATTACCATACACTCCGAGAGAGTAAACATGATTGCTGTTGTTTTTCGCTACTGTCTGGCTATGTGAAAAATGTCAGTGAACAAAACACTCAGCCACCGACTTGCGGAGGAGGAGCCAGCAATAGTAAAGAGACGCAGCTTCCTCGCAAATGCTGCCACGTAAAGACGGGAAAACGAGCCGCGTCGAGGTTCAAAAAGCCATTCGACTGCCAATCTCCCCCGGCCGAATACACTGCCAGTGCCCACTCAAATTGACCACAGGGCCCTGGGCCAAGACCTGGGTGTATTCATTAGGGCGATTCTGTTGCTAAACGATAGCAAACGGAACGAAATGGGGAGGGACCTACCTGAATTTGGCCAATATAAACTCGTTTTAGTTGCAAAACGTAATGCAACTGTTTTGGACTAATGAGTACACCCCTGTTGTAACATAAACTAGGCCACCAGCCACTGTTAGCGAGAATAAAACAATGTGCAGATTGCGGATTCAGCGCCGCGCCCAGGCAACTCATATAATGAGAACGTTCATTCAACTTCAAGCACCCCGATGTGGGTCTGTGGCTGCGCTGCATGAAGTCCACCATGGCATGCTTTTGTTATTGTTCTTAATCCCATTCCCCTTTCCCTGAACTTTAAAATTGTACGTTATTAGACCCAATTCCAGCAAACATGGTGTAGTTCAGGGGTGGGCAACCTACTACAGCCCGAGCCCATTCAATCCAGCCCGGGGGAGATTTGAGTAAAAATGAACATAAACACTCCAGGTCACTCTTGAACGTCTAAAATTAGATTAAAATTATAATGGACCTATACGTTTTCAAATAGCCTAATTGCCCTTTTTCTGGGCCATAAATAGCTTTATAGGTTCATGTGGTGCAGACTTATTTCCTGGTCACTACATAGGCCTAATTTGGAGTACTTTGGGACAGGCTGCGGGGCATTTGTGGCCCCGCATCTGATTCACTTGGAGAGCACTTTGCAAGTGACTTCCAACCATACATATGATTCCAACACTGTGCATCTGTTTAGAATGTTTAATGTTGAGTACTTTGAACTTGTACATCAATCCATCATCTTAGAAACATGGCCAAGAAACAAGCTTACAACACGATCATGACCAAAGCTAAAAAGGACCAGTGCATTGATTAATTGTGATAGGGACTTTCTTCATTCTGCGGGGGAAACGTAAATAACACTAAAATAATAGATAAACAAATGTTCTACACAACATACGTTCTGCTACTATCTGGGAACATGCCGGTTATAGCCTTATTATTAGGTAACATATTTGTCCCAGGTCATGTTGGACACATTCACTGCACAGTGTGGCTATTTCAACAACAACAGTACACAAATAGCCATTCTATAGCATAATAAAGCAACTCATCAAGTCCCCCTTTTTATTTTGCAACCATGAAGTATGTTGTCCAGCCTGCTAAGAGCAAAGCACCTAACAGCACTGTGTAACTGAAGAGAACAAATTTCAGAAGTTCTTTGAAGGTCCGAAGAAAGCGGAGAGACAAGGGCTCCATCTCATAATGGTATTCCATCTCCCAATGAGCGATGTAGTTTGCAGGATCTGTCTGCTCTGCAATCACAGGCCCTGAAAAGATTTCAAGGATTTTAACTAACAGTGCATTCTGAAACTATTCAGACCCCTTGACTTTTTCCATGTTTTGTTATGGCTGTAGCCTTATTCTAAAATTATATTTAAAAAAAAAATCCCCTCATCAATCTACACACAATACCCTATAATGACAAAGCAAAAACAGGTTTTTAGAATTTTTTGCAAATGTATAAAAATAAAAACGGAAATATCACATTTACGTAAGTATTCAGACCCTTTACTCAGTACTTTGTTGAAGCACCTTTGGCAGCGATTACAGCCTCAAGTCTTCTTGGGTATGACGCTACAAGCTTGGCACACCTATATTTGGGGAGTTTCTCCTATTCTTCTCTGCAGATCCTCCCAAGCTCTGTCAGGTTGGATGGGGAGTGTCGCTGCACAGCTATTTTCAGGTCTCTCCAGAGATGTTCGATCGGTCCGGGCTCTGGCTGGGCCACTCAAGGACATTCAGAGACTTGTCCCGAAGCCACTCCTGCGTTGTCTTGGCTGTGTGCTTAGGGTCGTTGTCCTGTTGGAAGGTGAACCTTCGTCCCAGTCTGAGGTCCTGAGCGCTCTGGAGCAGGTTTTCATCAAGTATCTCTCTGTACTTTGCTCCATTCATCTTTCCCTCGATCCTGACTAGTCTCCCAGTCCCTGTCGCTGAAAAACATCCCCACAGCATGATGCTGCCACCACCATGTTTCACCGTAGGGATGGTGCCAGGTTTCCTCCATACGTGACGCTTGGCATTCAGGCCAAAGAGTTCAATATCAGTTTCATCAGACCAGAGAATCTTGTTTCTCATGGTCTGCGAGTCCTTTAGGTGCCTTTTGGCAAACTCCAAGCGGGCTGTCATGTGCCTTTTACTGAGGAGTGGCTTCCGTCTGGCCACTCTGCCATAAAGGTATGATTGGTGGAGTGCTACAGAGATAGTTGTCCTTCTGGTAGGTTCTCCCATCTCCACAGAGGAACTCTGAAGCTCTGTCAGAGTGACCATCGGGTTCTTGGTCACCTCCCTGACCAAGGCCCTTCTCCCCCGATTGCTCAGTTTGGCCGTGCGGCCAGCTCTAGGAAGAGATTTGGTGGTTCCAAACTTCTTCCATTTAAGAATGATGGAGGCGGCCTTCCGAGAGGCGCAGCGGGCTAAGGCACTGCAGTGCTTGAGGCTTCACTACAGACCCGGGTTCGATCCCGGGCTGTGTCGCAGCCAGCCGCGACCGGGAGACCAATGAGGCGATACACAATTGTCCCAGCGTCGTCTGGGTTAGGGGAGGGTTTGGCCGGCCGGGATGTCCTTGTCCCATCGCGCCACGGTCGCCAGTTGCACAGTGTTTCCTCCGACACATTGGTGCTGCTGGCTCACCGGGTTAAGCGAGCAGTGTGTCAAGAAGCAGTGCAGCTTGGCAGGGTCATGTTTCAGAGGACGCATGGCTCTCGACCTTCGCCTCTCCCAAGTTTGTACGGGAGTAGCGATGGGACAAGACTGTAACTACCAGTTGCAGCGATGGGACAAGACTGTAACTACCAATTGGATATCACGAAATTGGGGAGAAAAAGGGGATGATGGAGGCCACTGTGTTCTTGGGGACCTTCAATGCTGCAGACATTTTTTGGTACCCTTCCCCAGATCTGTACCTTGACACAATCCTGTCTCTGAGTTCTACGGACAATTCCTTCGACCTCATGGCTTGGTTTTTGCTCTGACATGCACTGTCAACTGTGGGACCTTATATAGACAGGTGTCCAATCAATTGAATTTACCACAGGTGGACTCCAATCAAGTTGTAAAAACATCTCAAGGCTGATCAATGGAAACAGGATGAACCTGAGCTCAATTTTGAGTCTCATAGCAAAGGGTCTGAATACTTATGTAAATAAGGTATTTCTGTTTTTATTTTAAATAAATTTGCAATAACCTGTTTTCGCTTTGTCATTATGGGCTATTGTGTGTAGATTGATGAGGATTTTTATTTATTTAATCCATTTTAGAATAAGGTTGTAACGTAACAAAATGTGGAAAAAGTCAGGGGGTCTGAATACTTTCCTAATGCACTGTATATCAGCAACACATATTTACAGCTGAAGAGTGCATTAGTAAAGGCATTGCCACCTATAATTGTAGTTTATGAATAATTAATTTGTCAATTGCTCTAAATGCTTTTGGCATTGATCTCAGTTTAGCAAATGGTCAAACATTTACTTCCGACACAGTTACAAGCATAGCTAGGATAGTCTGTAAATCGTATTTGGTAATTAAACTATTTAAATATACCCATTGATTTTTGAAGATATAAGAATTAGAAATGCCTAAAATAGCTGTTACTTTATCAAAAGCCCTAATAATTATTTGTAGAGATAATAAATAATTTTATATTTAGCTTCAACTTCCGAGAACTAGAACCAATAATGAGATTAGGAAGAAGCTGCTTTTTGAAAACATTGAAGCGGCTGGTCCACCCGCTCAGACAGCTAAGCAACTTTATCGACAGAAATTATGTTCAAATGTATTTATTTTTCAATTCTCCCAAGGAAGTTAATTCCCTTACAGATATCTATCATATACATGTATGTGGACATGTACTTAATGCACCTTCAAGCTAAATAATGTAATAGCCTATAACAAAATAGTAGCAACACATATATTTCTCCAGACAAAATATTTCACATAAGGTGCACAAAATCAGCCATGCCCCACTTTCGCAACTCAAAATATAATATATTTCGCTTTGATAACCTGCAATAGGACTGCAGTAAATATTATTACATTGTTTAATTATAGCCTACTGTTACTGTAGATGTAAGATTTCATGCTATTTTTCGAGTATCTTAACTAAATTTAAGCGCATGGTGGATACATAACCTATAGATTAACTCACTGGACATAGGGCATATTACGTTACAACGTTTTCAATATTTATAAACTGCTTAAATTGGTTACTTACCCAGTCGGTTTATATGAAGGATTTTCAACTTCTTTGAAAATTCATTTGTTGAATATGCTCTCTGTACACGGGTTTCAATGTGCTGCCAGGAATACAAGGTGATGTCCGTTGCCACAAGTCCTAATGGCAAAGGAGGGGCCAACAACAATTATATTGATTACAAGAGTCCTGAGACCCTTGGGGTTCTCCTAATGGAAAATTAAGCCACGTCCTGCACCTGCTTCTCTGAGGTGAGACCTTGCCAAATACACAATAATAGGCTATGCATGTTCTATTGTTTCAGCTCTGAAAATCCTCTGCTGCATGCAAGAATCGCTCATCTCCTTTTCCCCTCTTTATAAAAATGGTCTTATTACATATTTGTGTCATTGTTACCATTTAACATACCGAAAATAATGCAATATATCTTCATGTGATGTGATATAGTGAGTTCCTCACTATTGGTTCACTAAAATCTCTGACTGCTGTCAATACCCGTCCCCCGCTGAGTACAAGACCCTGCTGTCCACAGCGCAGGACACGGACAAGCCATCGATCAAACCCGATATCAAACCTAACTCCAACGCACTTATCCTCTACCGGAACATGGAGCAAATAGCCTCCTAATTCAATCAGCGTCCTGCGCTGTCAAATCATGGGCCCTTATGGGGTAAGATCTCCAGACAGCAGAGGCCCATTATCGGCTGATAGGTAGGCCTGTTATTGGGCTAATTGCTCCTCGAGAGAGCAGGACTGCTGACGGCTGACTGGGTTCTCAACCTTTCCCCTCCACCCCACTCCAATCCTGCCTGCCTGCATCCTTTGGTCCCATCTTTATTTTCTTCTACAGTATAAACAACTCGTTAAGTAACAATGCATGTGGCCTAATTCACTGTTATCAAGGCTTTTAGATTCTACATGTTGAAAGTGTTGTAGGGATTGTGTAACATATGTGCAGTACAACTTTACATCAGACCTTTTAGTTTAGTTTTCTAAACCAGAAAAACATTTCAAATCAAAATCAAATCAAATCAAATCAAATCAAATTGTATTGGTCACATGCGCCGAATACAACAGGTGCAGACATTACAGTGAAATGCTTACTTACAGCCCTTAACCAACAGTGCATTTATTTTTTACAAAAAAAGTAAAAAATAAAACAACAACAAAAAAAAGTGTTGAGAAAAAAAAGAGCAGAAGTAAAATAAATTGACAGTAGGGAGGCTATATATACAGGGGGGTACCGTTGCAGAGTCAATGTGCGGGGGCACCGGCTAGTTGAGGTAGTTGAGGTAATATGTACATGTGGGTAGAGTTAAAGTGACTATGCATAAATAATTAACAGAGTAGCAGCAGCGTAAAAAGGATGGGGTGGGGGGGCAGTGCAAATAGTCCGGGTAGCGACAGCCCCAAAACATCACTGCTCTAGAGGAGATCTGCATGGAGGAATGGGCCAAAATACCAGCAACAGTGTGTGAAAACCTTGTGAAGACTTACAGAAAACGTTTGACCTGTGTCATTGCCAACAAAGGGTATATAACAAAGTATTGAGAAACTTTTGTTATTGACCAAATACTTATTTTCCACCATAATTTGCAAATAAATTCATAAAAAATCCTACAATGTGATTTTCTGGATTTTTTTTCTCACATTTTGTCTGTCATAGTTGACGTGTACCTATGATTAAAATTACAGGCCTCTCTCATCTTTTTAAGTGGGAGAACTTGCACAATTGGTGGCTGACTAAATACTCCCCCCCCCCACTGTACTTACAGCCCTTAACCAACAGTGCATTTATTTTTAGTAAAAAAGTAGAATAAAACAACCAAAAAGTGTTGAGAAAAAAAGAGCAGAAGTAAAATAAAATAACAGTAGGGAGGCTATATACAGGGGGGTACCGGTGCAGAGTCAATGTGCGGCGGCACCGGCTAGTTGAGGTAGTTGAAGTAATATGTACATGTGGGTAGAGTTAAAGTGACTATGCATAAATAATTAACAGAGTAGCAGCAGCGTAAAAAGGATGGGGTGGGGGGGGCATTGCAAATAGTCCGGGTAGCCATGATTAGCTGTTCAGGAGTCTTATGGCTTGGGGGTAGAAGCTGTTGAGAAGTCTTTTGGACCTAGACTTGGCACTCCGGTACCGCTTGCCGTGCGGTAGCAGAGAGAACAGTCTATGACTAGGGTGGCTGGAGTCTTTGACAATTTTGAGGGCCTTCCTCTGACACCGCCTGGTATAGAGGTCCTGGATGGCAGGAAGCTTTGCCCCAGTGATGTACTGGGCCGTACGCACTACCCTCTGTAGTGCCTTGCGGTCGGAGGCCAAGCAGTTGCCATACCAGGCGGTGATGCAACCAGTCAGGATGCTCTCGATGGTGCAGCTGTAGAATTTTTTGAGGATCTGAGGACCCATGCCAAATCTTTTCAGTCTCCTGAGGGGGAATAGGCTTTGTCGTGCCCTCTTCACGACTGTCTTGGTGTGTTTGGACCATGATAGTTCGTTGGTGATGTGGACACCAAGGAACTTGAAGCTCTCAACCTGTTCCACTACAGCCCCGTCGATGAGAATGGGGGCGTGCTCAGTCCTCTTTTTTTTCCTGTAGTCCACAATCATCTCCTTTGTCTTGGTCACGTTGAGGGAGAGGTTGTTGTCCTGGCACCACACGGCCAGATCTCTGACCTCCTCCCTATAGGCTGTCTCATCGTTGTCGGTGATCAGGCCTACCACTGTTGTGTCGTCGGCAAACTTAATGATGGTGTTGGAGTCGTGCCTGGCCATGCAGTCATGGGTGAACAGAAAGTACAGGAGGGGACTGAGCACGCACCCCTGAGGGGCCCCCGTGTTGAGGATCAGTGTGGCAGATGTGTTGTTACCTACCCTTACCACCTGGGGGCGGCCCGTCAGGAAGTCCAGGATCCAGTTGCAGAGGGAGGTGTTTAGTCCCAGGATCCTTAGCTTAGTGATGAGCTTAGAGGGCAATATGGTGTTGAATGCTGAGCTGTAGTCAATGAATAGCATTCTCACGTAGGTGTTCCTCTAGTCCAGGTGGGAAAGGGCAGTGTGGAGTGCAATAGAGATTGCATCATCTGTGGATCTGTTGGGGCGGTATGCAAATTGGAGTGGGTCTAGGGTTTCTGGGATAATGCTGTTGATGTGAGCCATGACCAGCCTTTCAAAGCACTTCATGGCTACAGACGTCAGTGCTACGGGTCCTTGGGCACGGGGACTATGGTGGTCTGCTTGAAACATGTTGGTATTACAGACTCAGTCAGGGACATGTTGAAAATGTCAGTGAAGACACTTGCCAGTTGGTCAGCACATGCTCGGCGTACACGTCCTGGTAATCCGTCTGGCCCTGCGGCCTTGTGAATGTTGACCTGCTTAAAAGTCTTACTCACATCGGCTACGGAGAGCGTGATCACATAGTCATCCGGAACAGCTGGTGCTCTCATGCATGCTTCAGTGTTGCTTGCCTCGAAGCGAGCATAGAAGTGGTTTAGCTCGTCTGGTAGGCTTGTGTCACTGGGCAGCTCGCGGCTGTGCTTCCCTTTGTAGTCTGTAATAGTTTTCAAGCCCTGCCACATCCGACGAGCGTCAGAGCCAGTGTAGTACGATTCAATCTTAGACCTGTATTGACTCTTTGCCTGTTTGATGGTTCGTCGGAGGTCATAGCGGGATTTCTTATAAGCGTCCGGGTTAGAGTCCCGTTCCTTGAAAGCGGCAGCTCTACCCTTTAGCTCAGTGCGGATGTTTCCTGTAATCCATGGCTTCTGGTTGGGGTATGTACGTACGGTCACTGTGGGGACGACATCATCGATGCACTTATTGATGAAGCCAGTGACTGATGTGGTGTACTCCTCAATGCTGTCTGAAGAATCCCGGAACATGTTCCAGTCTGTGCTAGCAAAACAGTCCTGTAGCTTAGCATCTGCGTCATCTGACCACTTTTTTATTAACCGAGTCACTGGTGCTTCCTGCTTTAGTTTTTGCTTATAAGCAGGAATCAGGAGGATAGAGTTATGGTCAGATTTGCCAAATGGAGGGCGAGGGAGAGCTTTGTATGCATCTCTGTGTGTGGAGTAAAGGTGGTCTAGAGTTTTTTTCCCTCTGGTTGCACATTTAACATGCTGGTAGAAATTAGGTAGAACGGATTTAAGTTTCCCTGCATTAAAGTCCCCGGCCACTAGGAGCGCTGCATCTGGATGAGCGTTTTCCTGTTGATTTATGGCCTTGTACAACTCATTCAGTGCAATCTTAATGCCAGCATTGGTTTGTGCTGGTAAATAGACAGCTATGAAAAATATAGATGAAAACTCTCTTGGTAAATAGTGTGGTCTACAGCTTATCATAAGATACTCTACCTCAGGCGAGCAAAACCTCGAGACTTCCTTAGTATTTGATTTTGTGCACCAGCTGTTGTTTACAAATATACACAGACCGCCACCCCTTGTCTTACCGGAGTCAGCCGTTCTATCCTGCCGATGTAGCGTATAGCCCGCTAGCTGAATGTTATCATTGTCGTCGTTCAGCCACGACTCGGTGAAACATAAGATATTACAGTTTTTAATGTCCCGTTGGTAGGATAACCGTAATCTTAAGTCATCCAATTTATTTTCAAATGATTGAACGTTGGCTAATAGGATTGATGGAAGAGGCAGTTTACTCGCTCGCCGTCGGATCCTTACAAGGCACCCTGATCTACGTCCACGATATCTCTGTCTCTTCCTCACGCGAATGACGGGGATTTGGGCCTTGTCGGGTGTCTGTATGATATCCTTCGCGGCCGCCTCGTTGAAGAAAAAATCTTCGTCCAATACGAGGTGAGTAATCGCTGTCCTGATATCCAGAAGCTCTTTTTGGTTATAAGAGAATTTAGTCACATTGTAGAGTGTAAGGACAAATGTTAAAATGGCCAGTTTTTTTGAGACCTGTCATTGACTCTGGTTATAAAAGCAGTAATCAGCAGTCAATTACACATTTTATTTAAAGGACTACTTTTCACATAAATAATGGCAAGCAAAGAAAACCCCTATACTGTACAACACAAAATATAGGTTGAAATCACAAAAATAATAAACAATAATAATACAAGCATCTTCCTTTCAGCCTTTGTGTTAATACAGTATATATATATATTTTTTACAATGATCTCAAAACCTTCCAACATGCCCCAAGTAAGATTACATCTTCTCGGCTCCATACAATGACCAAAGCAGGTGACAATGGAGATGTGCATTTAGCAAGCTGTTAGAGTTGCAGGCAAAGGACAGGGAGAATTGAGGAGCTGACTCCTGGTCACCTCACACTGACAGTTGCTGAGATCAATCAGACACACCTGCAGGGCGCTGGAATATGGACATTAAAAAGAAGCGGCAAGGTCTTTTGTTCCGACTGTTTGATGTGTCTGTCTAGCTGTGCATCTGTTCCCCCGAGGGGGCGGCAGCGGGCTCAGGGGGCCTGGGCCTCCGGGCGGTCCATCAGAGACTTGATCCAGCTGGTACCATTGATGAGCTTGGTGGTGGCAATGATGTACTCTGTGCCACCATCCTCCATCTGAGACAGGAAGCGCAGGGCAGCGATTTCCGCGTATGTCACCCCTCCCAGAAAGAACACCAGTGTGGTCCTGTTCTCCCCCTGCTGGCCTGTGGGACAGAGTGGGGAGAGAAAACAGTCAAACAGGGTGGAGATCACAGGGTGCACCACTCTCTGAGGGTGACTCAAGGGGAGTTGGTAAATGCAAAAAACACATTTCTATTTCACACATGTGAAACAGGACAAATATAAGCACCCACCAAATTATTAATATTATTACTTAGCAGAGTATGTTTGTTTTGAAGTGAGGTTACTTTAATCTCAAAAACCGATATTGTACATGTAAATACACAAAGAAAGTAAGAGACACAGCGCCTCGAGTCAACCCCCATCCACCCATGTCCCACCCACACATTATTCTCTCAAATCTCAAACAAACTCCGCCCTCTTCCTGCTACAACAGGCTTGTCTATTGTCAGTCTTCCATTATCACCTTTCTAGAACAAAGATATGGCAGACATGTAAAAACAAGTCAACTGTCTATTACCCAAACTCACAGTTCTAATTAACACATTACATGGTGTAAATAAAAGGCATCTCATCAAATTAATTATCCCCTTGTCAATGAGATGTCCAAACTGACCCTGGAGTCAGCAACGCACAGTTACAATGCTTAAGATGAGAAGGATATTCAACACTCTGGTCTCTGAAAGGTCTCTGCCCCTCCTCTTTCATACACAAACAATCACCCAAACAGACGCACACTTAACGGTAATGTCCAGTTTTGTTCACTGTGTACAATAAATCAACTGCTGCTCAAAGACATGTGGCACGGCATGGACAAAGCAAGCTCTTATCTACAGCCAGCAGATCACCACACAGGTGATCATTCACCCAGCCTTTCAATAGCTCAGCTTGTTGAGCAAGAGAGCAACTGGCTGCCTTGGTCTCCTGCGGTCCTTACGTTTCTTATGGAGGCCGGCAGGCAGCTGTTGTCTCTCCTCAAAGTGTGGACCTGGGAGCATCTTCAGAACTTCCTCGATGCTGCGCCAGCCGGGCCTGGCCAACACCTGGGTCAGACGGATGCTGAGAGGAGCATAACCACTATACACATAGGAGATGTCATTGGGGTTCTGGAGGAAGATGACAGACACACAAGCTGGGTATCAGTACAGACAATACTACATACAAATCCCACTCTCACAGTCGGAGATAAAGTATGCACATGAGTTTTGGTAAGGTTGTTGTTACATAGAAATTTGGTTAATGCTTTGAGCATTTTTTCCTCAACTTGCTTAATAAAAAAAACAACCCAACTCCATTATTGTGCAATTCCAAAGCAATGACTAAATTGTCACTAGAATAATAACAGTGTTATTACACAGGTGTAAGTGTTACCCTCCCCCCTCCCAGACTACATTATGTCTCCCTCATGGAATTCATTCACCTGTTCGTTGGCATCCTCCATCCAGAGCTTGAGTGTCTTTCTGATAGTGGGGTAGTTATTCCTGGTGCTTGTCTGGAGCTTCAGAAGACCTGTCTTCTCCAGGTTGTTGAGGGTAAGCATGTGTTCGTATCCATAGGTCTGGAGAAAACAGCACAGGTCAATCATGTTGCCACAGTAGTTTTCATCACATCTTCAAAAGACCATCACTAGTATTAAAACACTGACTTATTGTAATGTAATCAGAAGAAAATGCACCTGAAGGATCTCCCTCTTGTAGTAGTCCAACACCTTCTGCTTGAGACCGTTGTTGCAGACCGACTGCATACAGACCAGCCGCAGGATTTTGATCAGAGGATCCTTCTGGGCGATGCAGTCCTCAATATATGTGTTAACCTGGACAATGGGAAAAAGGGGCGGTTGGTCAGCAAGCCTAGACATGAGCACACACATGCATGCAGGGACTAAGCAAAACATTCTGTTTATAGTGAAGGCAGCTTCAAATATTATCAGAGCCAACCACATGTCCACACTACAATATACAAAGCACTGAAAACCTTGTGTACCTTGTCTGTGTCAACTCCAGTCATAAACTCCTGCTCCACTGTCAGGTTATCAAAGAAGGCCTCAGAGGCTGAATCAGAGTGAGAGAGAAAGAGAGAGAATATCCCTTTACCTCTGTCAACGAGTATCAACAATAGTCTTTCTCTAAACGATATGCCACACATTTGACAAAGTCCACCACATTAAATGTCACCAAGATCAGATTGTATCCATTTTTTAGGGTGGAGGGCAGGAAGAAAAACAGATGAAGACATAGAAAGAAGGGATGAGGAATGAAGAGTTGTTAGTTGGACATGAAAGGAGAAGGAGTAAAAGTTGTTCTTCTCACTGGTGATGTCCTTGATGAGCTCAGCTATAGAGGTGTGATTGGCCAGCGAGCTCCGTGCTGCCTGCATGTGGGGCAGCTGGGACACAAACTGCTTTATCTCGCCCACTGTTTTGGCATTATGTCGCTCCTGCAAGACAAAATCAATGAACTAACATTAACACTGGAAAAAAGAGACTGTGTAGTGTTACATACAGATGTTGTGAAATGTGAGAGCCGGTTGAGATGACTAAAATCCCCTAGGTAATTACAAAAAAATCTACTTATCAACTACACAATAAACAGACACTGAACTCAACCCAAATATGTGGGAATGATTTCAGATTAAACATACAGTATGGAATGCTGCCATGTAGGTATAACAGTAGTAAGAAATGGTGTGTTGCCTGGAGAACAGCTGATGCTCTCACTGATACGGTCATCCATCAAACTAGAGAAAATCAACTTTGATTGGGAACAGGTCTGGGCAAGACAGAAATATAAGAATACATCAACTGAAACACCCACAGGTGTGGGTCTAATTCAGTCTAATTATCACATGCAAAACATCCAGTGACAGTTATGATGCCAAAAGTGTAGGCCTGTTGGGGATGCGTAACAAATAATCAGTGGGAGATTACGCATAACCTAAACACAGCAGAAAACTGCTTTTTTGTTGCTTTAATCTGCCACTCCTTTATCATAAAAAGTGTGTTTACGGTCTTGATCGATAATACTAATTGTTAGTTGGCTTTACTTTTTGCCATTGGAAAACCACCTTCTGAAAAGTCTACCTGGCACATAGAAGGTTATCAATAAGAACACAAATTGATATGATTAGAGAAAGCGGTAGCTAATGTAATTGAGCTTGCGTGGTCTGACATTGGGACTTATCTGAGATTGTTATCACCAGTTTGTGAAGTGACCTTTATAACACATTAACAAAGTGATTTGGATCAAATTAGACAGGAGTGGTTACAGAGAATCTGTCTGTCTGTGCACGCTTGGATGAAGCCAACCTCAAAGGCAGCAGAGATGATCTTGGCCTTCTTGCTCAGTGCAGCCCCTATGGCGTTGAAGTTTTTGTCCCGTATTTCAGCATACAGCTCCTCTGCGGAGTTGAGCTGCATCTTCTTGGGCTCCGTGGGCAGGTCTTTACCCGCCTCAGCCTGCTTCTTTTGGGCAGCAAACTTCTCAGGAGGCAACTTGACATAACCTATGTTTGCATGCGCACAGAATAGATAAACAAGCAAACAAAGCACACAAAGGTCCAAAACCCCATACACAAATCGACAGAAACCCCTCAAGATGTCTTTATGTCAATCAATGTGATTAAATATGTCTGTATTTAGCTTGCATTGTGTTTTCATGCATTAACAGAGGCCCATCCTCACCGTTGGTGATTCCATAGACTTCGTCAATGAGGCCCTCATAGGTGAGCTGTGTGGCCAGAGGGGTGAGCAGGTCTATGTTGCGGTCCAGCAGCAGCAGTGAGTCAAACACAGGTAGGATCTGTGTCTGACTGCCAGCAAACTCCCTCTTCATCCTAAGCATCATGTTAGCTACATGCTGCACATGGAGAAGACATGAGGGTTTTATTTCTAACACAATTAATGCATTAATCTAAGAACATACTGCCCGCCAATCAGGTGCGTAGCGCAGTGTCGCAATGTCCTTTTTAGTCTCAAAAGGGGTGGCTCCTTGTAGAGCGCTCCGACATTTGACATACTCCCGTACCACATTAACATTATAACACGCTATGTCATTACTTGAGTAGTCGTGGGGGCAGTGTTGTGTAGGCAATGAAGCTCGCTTGGTTCCTTGATCTGATCTATAGGCTATGTATCAAAGTAGCCTATTTTGCATTGATAAGAAAATATAATCTCAGCGACTGTTCAAACAATAAACCAAACATTGTAGCCTTATTAAAATCCCCCCAAAATATTGAAAAAATGTGGGCTACAGAAATAAAAGGGAACAATTTGAAGCCATATGGCATAAAGTGTTACAAGCCCTAGAAATATCAAAAAGATGACAAATGAGAAAAAAAAATATTATGAGAACAAAGATGGATATGGATACTGTGGGAACATGTAGGTTTTAGCAAGTATGATGTCAATAATGTTTTTTTATGTTGAAGGTTGGGCTTTAAGTCCCAGCCAACGTCATGTCTAGTTTAGTGGATCCATGTCTGGGAAATGTTGTTTATTGTCTGTTGTCTGAAAAACAAAAAAAAAACGTTTAAAAAAAAGAATCCCCCCCAAAAGTGTATTTTGTTTAGAAGTAGGCTATTGGACATTCTATTTTTAGCTGTTATGGGAGTGAATACATTCAAGCAGCATATTAAACTGGGATAACATTGTAGGTTACATCGACAAGTACACAAACATTTGCCAGGGCATATTATTTATTTATAAATCTGATTATTTCACATGGCGATGTGGGAAGCTAATCAACTTCAAAATCACTTCAACTTCAAGATTGCTATCTTGGTTTAGCTTGGCATTAAATAAGCAGCCTATTTTGCATTGAAAACCAAATTTCATCTCAGCAACTGTTCAAACAATAAACCAAACAACATTGTAGCCTTATTAGAATCCCCCCAAAAGGTATTTTGATTAGAAGTGATAACGTTATTCTAGGCTATTTTGAAACGCAAAAACAGATAGCCATGTGCTTGTTTTTCTCCATGACTAAAAATGATGACATTCTATTTTTAGCTGATATGGGAGTGAATACAGTGAAGCAGCATATCAAATTAGGATAATGTTGTAGGCACCGGCAAGTATAAGAATATTTGCCAGGGTATATTATTTAATTATAAACTGGGTGGTTCGAGCCCTGAATGCTGATTGGCTGACAGCCGTGGTATATCAGACCGTATACCGGGTACAACAAAACATTTATTTTTAATGCTCTAATTAAGTTGGTAACCAGCTTATAATAGCAATAAGGCACCTCTGGGGTTTGTGGTATATTGTCAATATACATGGCTAAGGGCTGTATCCAGGCACTCTGCGTTGCGTTGTGCATAAGATCAGCCCTTAGCCGTGGTATATTGGCCATATACCACACACCCCTCTGGCCATATTGCTTAATTATAAATCGGATTATTTCACATGGTGATGTGGGAAGCTAATCAACTTCAAAATCACTTCAACTTCAAGATTGCTGTCTTAGTTTAGCTTGGCATTAAATAAGTGGTCTATTTTGCATTGATAACAAAATATAATCTCAGTGACTCTTCAAACAATTAACCAAACAACATTGTAGCCTTATTAGAATCCCCCACAAAGGTATTTTGTTACGAAGTAATAACTACCTGATTGACTACCTAAAAACAGCCCCAAGCCATGTGCTTTCATTTTCTCCATCAGCAAAAATGATAGCATTCTATTTTTAGCTGATATGGGAGCTAATATATTCAAGCAGCATATAAAATGGGTCTAATGTTGTAGGTTACACTTGTCAGGGCATACTATTTAATTATAGATCTGATTATTTCACATGGGTAGATGTGGGAAGCTAAAAGGCTAGCTTCCTGGCTGTTTTTAGCCAGCTAGCTAGCAAGCTGCTAGCAGAGTAGCCTACAGCCAACTGGCAGGCACAAAACGAGGTAATTTAAAACAAACCTAAACTTTCGTTACATGTAGCTATCAATCAAATATGTAGTTGGTTTTCATAAAAATTTGTTAACAGTGGTGATGAAGTTTAAAACGTGATTCTTCTTTGATTTTGCCACAAATGGGAAGACAACAACAGGAAAATCTATGCTATCACCCCCTTGTGTATGTTACTATTAGGGGGTCTAAAAACACATGGACCAGCGAGGGTATCATGTTACAAAAGGTGCTCCAATAAATTCTGACTCCACCCAAGAGTATGCACACGTGTAGATCTACGCACGTTAAGTGTGTGGAAATCTTTAGTTAGTAGACTATCTTTGGTAGAGCGCATACGGCTCGCCTTGCTCCCTCCGATAGTCAAACAAACTGTGAGATTTTTACATGAAAGTAATGCAAAGTAATATAACTGGTAATATAACACGTTACTTTCCACACAAATTCATATTGTAGAGTACCGCTTTACTTTTGTTAAATGTAATGAGTAATATTTTACATTTCCAAATAACTAATAACAACACTGCTGCCAATATGGAATTCTAAACCTAATGAAGTCCCAAGTCGTTCCCTATACTCACCCGTGCACACTCCCCTTTCCCAAATATCTGGGGGATGGTCCCATACAGAGCCTGGAGAGTCATAAGGCCCTTGGCGGTGTGGTAAAGACTTGTCTGGTCACTTTCTAGATAGCATTCCTAAAACAGACAGGCAGGGCACATGAATGGGTTATTACCCCATACAATACAAACGATAGCTTTGGACCTGAGCCTTACTGGGCCTATGCACTGGGACATGTGTTGTGTCTATGTGCATGTCCCTGTCCTAACCTACCCTGAAGGCCCCCTCAGACTCCATGGAGAGCAGGTCTCCATCATAGGGGATGAGGTCTAGGATGTACTCGTCTATGTTGATGAACGAGCCCAGGACCCCCTGCTCCTTCAGCCGCTGCTCACAGAGCATGCTCCGCCGGGGCACAAACAGGATGTGGAAGTCACGTGGGGAATGCATCTTATCCTCACTGCAGGAACACACATTGAACACAAGAGATACGCTATAAGAGGGAAAGCAAAACCCATCCACACCCACCCAGATGCAATACTGGCTGCAGCATTACTCCAAAAACAAGGACAGTGTTTAACATAGGGATATGACAAATGTAAAACATTTGAAAATGACGTGAATTCCAAATTCAGATATGGTCACGCATGACCGCTAGGGGGCAATGCAGTTCAATGTACCGCAGTCCTGGCTACCTACCAGCTAGACCGTGTTCACCTTACCGCTATCCCCCACCTACTCAACAAAGATGGTATTAAAGGATCCCAAAAAAATTTACAACGAAATCTCTATTTTTTATGTAAATGGAAGTTATAGAAGGGTCCAGACATGTTTTTCAGAAACTTACCCCAAACAGCAAATCACTTCCTCATCCTCGTTTTGTAGTACGGGGTCCCGAAAAAAAAAAAAACATGAACAAAGGCTCCAAAAACACCCAAATACGTCCTTTTAGAAATAGCAAAGCTCACAGTATGGTGATGCAGGTCTTTAGATGTTGTACACATGAAATTCTGTCATTCCAAACTTTATCCGCAACGTTATATTCCATTTTGTTGCGACTCGAGCAATACCTCTCCGTCCATTCTACAAGTAACTGCCAAAATAAAGGAAACACTTGAGTAAACGAGGGATAGAAAGAATATTGAAAGCATGGGGTGCTTTCACACAGAAAGTTCCAGACACTTGTAGAATCTATGCCAAGGGGCATCTGAAGCCCTGCATCACTATAGTGAGAACTTTGCTGTTTCTAAAAGGATGTATTTGGGTGTTTTTGTAGCCTTTGTTCATGTTTTTTAGGGGCCCCCATACTACACAACAAGGATGAGGAAGTGATTTGCGGTAAGTTTCTCAAAAACATATGAAATCACAAAAAAGGTGTCTGGACCCTTCTATTAGATGCCATTTAGATCAAAAGTAGAAATGTGGTTGTAAATAAGAAAATGTATCCTTTAATGCCATTTTAGGTTCTCTGTTGTGTGCCTCTCCTCCATGTTCTCAGTTGTCAGTACATGGAACTTCATGTCCCACTTTTCATCAAAGTGATGGCTCGTTGCAGTGAATTTGTATTTATGCCTTTATGATGATGATGATCGGGACCTGTTAGTGGTAGTTCTGTGATAACTGCACTGTGATTTTAATATGGCTAAAGAAAAGTTTGAAAAAAGTTTTCTAAACGTTAACCAGCCCAAACTCATTTAAACGTTACACCCCTAATGCCAGTGAGATAATGTGATGTTGACCTTCTTCTTCTTGTTCTTCTTTGAGATTGGGTTGTCGGATCACATCCAACTTTTAAGGTGCATACACCGCCACCTACTGTACTGGATTGTGAGGCCAGTTACGGCCTACCTATATTAAATTATCATTAGTCCTGTTCCTCCAAGAAAATGAAATAGCACCATAGACACCACTTCCCTCCCCCCACTACACCACCCAAACCCCAACCCTGTCCAGCCTCTCAACCCTTTCACACAATCTCTCCCTATCTACGTCAAACAGTTCACAAAATATCAACACATGCTCCACCGTTTCCTCCACTAAAAAGTCATCACACAGACCTGTTTCATGTCTCCCTATCATCCATAACATAGCATTCAAACCTGTGTGCCCAAACCGTAATCTACTCCACAAAACTTCCTCTCCTACATCCCATACTCCCCATCTCTTCCTTAACTGACTGATGCATGCGATAAAATTGCCTCCCCTTACTACTAGCATCCCACTCCCTTTGCCAAAGATCATGTCCTTTTGCCCAGATCAAGGACTTGACTTCCCTCCGGCCCAGCGGGACCTGAATATCTACCCCCTCTCTCCTCACCGCACTCTTAGCCACCACATCGGCCTTCTCATTACCCTCCCCACCCACATAGGCGGGAACCCAGCAAAAGCTTACCACCACTCCCATCCTCTCCAATCCCATTAACAGCACCATCATCTCAACAAACAAGTCTCCCCTATCTGACCTGCCCGTCTTCACACTACTCAACACTGCACCCGAATCAGAGCAGATCACCACTCTGTGGTTTTACCTCCTCCATCCATCTCAAACCAATAATCATGGCCATCAACTCGGCCGCATACACTGACACATAATCAGTTAACCGCTTACATACTCTAACATTGAAATCTGGGATATACACCCCTGCCTCCACCCTACCACTGACTGGATCCTTTGAACCATCTGTATATATCCTTAAAAATGAATAAAACAGATTATCTATTTACTGTATCTCTCCACACAACGACTCACGTCCTCACCCCATTCTCTCCTACCCTCAATCATGTCCACATCTACACTTGGTTTCGGAAACAGCCACGGAGGAAAGTTCCCCAATGCAATTACTGTCCCTATCTCTATCTCCCCCAGTCCATATTCTACCGCTTTCTGCCCGATTGTCCACCCGTACGCCCTCTGCTTACCTACTCCTCGCTCCCAGAATTCCCCTTCTGAACTCTCTTTCAAACTCGCCCAGTACGCTAATGCAAGTTTGTCCCGCCTTATCCTCAGTGGCAGTTTCCCACTATCCACCTGCAATGCCTCAACAGGTGTCGTCCTGAAGGCATCCACACACAATCTCAGGGCCCTTGAATGTATCCTATCCAGGCGCTGTAGTACCGTTCTGGCTGCTGATCCATACACAAAGCACCCATAATCCATAGATGACCTGATCAGATCAATGCCTGATACATATACAACAGTGTTTGTCTATCCGACCCCCAATCACATCCTGCCACTGCCCTCATGAGGTTTCAGCACCTTCCTACACTTAATTTCAATATGCTCAACATGTCTCTTCCACCTAAGCCTCTCATCAAACCACATACCTAAATAATGAAACTCTGACACCCTACCTATATTACATTTACATTTTCGTCATTTAGCAGACGCTCTTATCCAGAGCGACTTACAAATTAGTGCATTACATTTAGATTTACATTTACGTCATTTAGCAGACGCTCTTATCCAGAGCGACTTACAAATTGACTATATCCTGACCATATATTTGCAGCCTAACATCTTTAACCTTCTTCCTAGAAAACACCATAAAGCAGGACTTGGCCACAGACATCCTAAACCCCCAGGTCAAAGACCAATCTAGCACAACTCCGACAGCTTCTTGGATCTTCCTCATCACAAATTTTACATTCCCACCTCTGTTCCCCATCATCAGCATGCAAGGCCATACACCCACTCCCTGTCCCACATCCTTAAATATGTAATCTATCATCAGGGTGAACAACACCGGACTAACCACACTTCCCTGAGGATTGCCATTGTCCACTTCAAACCGCATTGACAATTCTGACCCCACCCCACCCGTATAACTCGATTGAACAAGTAGTCCATGATCCAGTTATACAGACGTCCCCCAATGCACTCAACTTGATCAAGAACCCTTCCCTCCACAAGGTATCGTAAGCTTTCTCAATGTCAAAATACACAACACTCAACACCTCTTTTAATGTCAGGGCCTTGGCTATCTCTGTACTAACTGTCACCAGGGCATCCATGGCAGACTCCCTCTCCTGAACCTACTCTGTGCTACGCTCATCAAACCCCTAACTTCCAAGAAATACATCATCCTACTCACTATGATCTTTTCCATCAATTTACACATGTTGGATGTCAGCGCGATAGGCCTATAACTGCCCACCCTAGCGGGATCTTTACCTGGATTTACAAACGACAACACCACCGCACGTTTCCACCCAGCAGGTATCACCCCTGTCCTCCACAACTTATTATACAACCCTAACACTGCTTCCAACACACTGTTCGGTGCATGCTTAAACATCACATAACACAGCCTATCTTCTCCAGGAGCAGTCCGCCCGCAGCCCTCCAACGTCCTTGTCATCTCAAACATAGAAAACTGCATCCATAGCTCCTCCTGACTCCCCTTTTTTCTTTAAAACATCTCCACGCTCCTTTAACTTTTCCCTACGTCTCCTCTTACTCTCATCACAAAGGTGCTCACATCTATGGACCGCTGCAAATGCACCAGGACTTTGCCTTTTCTTTACTTGATACAGCTGTGACATTTCCGTCTACCAACATGGAATTCCCTTCCCCATAATTTTTTCAAACTGCACCAATTTCGGTCCCTCTACCAATAGTGGAGCAAAATTCCCGCCATGCCTCCCTTTCGCTATCTTAATCGTTCTTCTCACCGTCGCTCTCTTGCTTTGATACTCCATGATATTCCTTTCTGTCAAGCCATTCCTAAGTACCTGTAGAGCTATATCCGTTTCCCGCACCACCTTTGAGCACTCATCTGTCCACCATGGCACCACCCGCCGTCTTCCTCCCCCCAAACACACTGGAACAGTCACATCTGCAGCTGATATAATTACAGACGTTACTGCCTCATCCACAGACCCCTCCATTGATCATTTTTGTCCTGCCCGCTCACACAGGTACTTGAACATCTTCCAGTTAGCTTTCTAACAGCACCACCTCATGTTATTGCCTCTACTCTGCATACACACATCCATATTGACCTTACATCGAACTGGAAAATGATCACTCACTACCGTGGTTTCTCTCCTCCCTTCCCATTCACACCTCCCTGGCACCGCCGCAGATACATTTTACATTTACATTTTAGTCATTTAGCAGACGCTCTTATCCAGAGCAACTTACAGTTAGTGAGTGCATACATTATTTTTTTTATTTTTTCACACTGGCCCCCCGTGGGAATCGAACCCACATCCCTGCCGGCCATTCCCTCCCCTACCCTGGACGACGCTGGGCCAATTGTGCGCCGCCCCATGGGTCTCCCGGTCGCGGCCGGCTACGACAGAGCCTGGATTCGAACCAGGATCTCTAGTGGCACAGCTAGCCTTAGACCACTGCGCCACTCGGGAGACACCAATGTCAAGTCCAAGGAAAACTCTGTACCCCTCGCCACATTGATTCTCGTCCCCCTCCCATCATTAACACACACTAATCCTGTTATCCATAAATTCTTTGACTATACTCCCATTGTTATCTTTATGCGTACTTCCCCAGATTTCATTATGGGCATTAGAATCACCACACCATATTACCTTCCTATCCCTACATGTCCTATCAATCCCTTCTAACTGTTCTAACATGAGAGGTTTGCAGGGGTTATAGAAATTAACTATTACAATTGTTACCTCTATTCCTACATATTTCTATCCCCACACATTCCAATTCCTGTATCTCCAATACGCTGTACGCCATCCCCTCTTTAACAAACGTAGCACAACCCCCACCCGACCCCTCCCCTCTATCACACCATACTGAACTGAATCCCGGAATCACAAACTCCAGCTGAGGTTTGAGCCATGCCTCTTGGACATACACTACATCTGGCACTACTTCCATGTCATATACAAACTTCTTAAACTCCTGCCCGTTAGCTATTAAGCTTCTAGCGTTCCATTGAAGGACTGCAAAAAACACTTAATAGGTTGCTTCTGTAATTCCCAGGAAAAATCTTTGGCCGTGCGTACCGCCACATCTATGCATGCAGACTTTTTCTTAACCTGATCACTCATATTCATCACACTACACATGAACGCCAAGAAGTCAACCCTGTTCACCACCAACGACCGCACACTGATGGTCACATTCCGTAGAGACCCCAGTTTGTGCTACTCCCTCACCTCCCCCTGGGATGCTGACCTGATGACATTCTCTGCTATAATATCCATCAGTTCCAGTCTGGGACGGACAAAGAATATGATATTTTTCACGTCAGCAGCAGGGAGACGCCCCCCTTTGAGGGTGAACATCTTCTCCACCTCATGTTCCTAGAAGATATAAAGAAGACATATCTGTCAACAACCAGCTTGACATTTTGCTATTGCTGTAATGTGAGCCTTTGAAAACACAAGGATTCATTGTTGCCATTCTGTCAGACTCTCTTATAAAAAAGTGTTAGGTCTACACACCGAAGTACACATTTTAGCCAGTCTTACCTTCAGCAAGGAATATTGTGCTATCAATCCAAAGGGTCCAGTCAGGTATTCATCCCACACAACAGCCTAAGGACAGTCAACAACAATTTTAGACACATAAATACAGTTTGAGTTCCAAAGTTGACCCTTGAATCAACTGCATCTATTTAGCTACTAACTATGTGGATGACTATGTACCACAACAACCCAATTATTTTTTATGTGGATGATAGCCTAGAATGCTAGCTAGTGTTGAACAGACAATTCGGATTAAAACAAGGTAAAAGGTTTTGTAATTTTTTTACGCTTTAATCCAGGCGTTTTACCTTGCTTCCTGCACATTTGTCCAAAAACTCACGGAGCTCCTTCCGCGCTGCTTCTCTCAAAATGTTTAAATTGACTCTTCCATAGGATAAGTGAGCAGACATTTTTGCTCTGACAGTAGCGAGAATCAGGTGACTGCTAGCGGGGGTGTGCATCATGTGACCCAAAAGCGAACTTCTTTGAGCTGTAATAAATATTCTGTCCAAAAGATGGCGCTAGATCTCCACAATGAATGCCGAGAAAGGCATTTAGAGATGGACGGTGCATTTAAAATGAATAAATAAATTAAAGACTAAAATTCGAGGACAAAGTGTGGCAATAGTATTAACGATATGCCTCTAGAAACACGTTTTGTAGATGCAAGTTTGATGAAGCCTATAAAACACAGACATGCAATGTGGCCTTTCATGGGGGTGGGAGGGGGACTGGGGACAAAAACTTCATAATGCTACCCCGACCTGCAGGCTGATTGAGCATCCATGAAAATAAGATTCAATATTAAAAGGCTATTGGAAAGTTTTTACTGAAAGTGTTTAGTCTACTTTCATTCAGCTAGTGTAGCCATTCAATGAAATTGTAAGTTGCAAGAAAAATGTAGAACTTAGAAACCAAGACAAATCTAAAGTAGAACCAGGCAAGAGTCCACTTGAGCATCAATGGAGGCTACTTGGATGCAGGGGTCTCCTTCCCAGAGTACCAAGAGCTTACCACGGAGGAGAGAACCCACGCAGGGCGCATTGTGTCGAGATCAGCCCCTAGCGACGGTGTTATAAGGAATTGAGAAGCACCCCTCTTCGCAAAAATATTGCTCGTGACAGGCGTTGCATGCGCAATGAACGGTTTTGCTGTTGATTCCAAGAAGCCTACCTTATAAAATGAGTCCGCATCATTTCCTGACATCTTCCTTCGAGAGAGGGCTGGAATCTCAGGTAGGCTTGCTACGGTTTTCTGACTGTCTGCATCTATTGTGAGCATTAGGTTACATTTCACGTATTGGAGTTTAGGGTGCTTTTATTAAATATTATTTTTTCCAGAACTGCAGTTACATGAATAAAGGAACATTATGCACACATATGGGGACTAGTTGGTTCTGTCACATCATCGCCGTCGCTTATGATGAAACATTGATGGAGCGCTCCCTGCGCTTCAGTTTATCTGAATGATTACATTTACATTTAAGTAATTTAGCAGACGCTCTTATCCAGAGCGACTTACAAATTGGTGCATTCAACTTAGATCTCATTGAACATTTATTTGAATTCGAAAATGATAGAATTTCATTACATAGATCTATGGTATGCAATATGATACTATCTCTATAAAATGACCCAATGGAACATAGTTTTTTTATCTACCTTATGTACGTGTTGAAGATGAAACCAAGTGAATAGATAGCATTTTATTTTCAGCTGTAACAAAAGCTTTGAATGAGTGAAATTACTTGAATACCAATAGTATGTATGCTATGCCATACAGCCGACTAAACAGTAAGGTTCAAGCTTTACTGACGTCGTTTTATGTTTAGCATAAATCAATGCGTCTATAAAACTGATATTAGGCTACAGTCTGTCTGTTGTAAAATACAGCATCATATGTATGCTGATTAATTGGTATATGATTATTTGACGTATTTCAATGTATTATCCATTTCATTCATGAATAACGTGGTCCATTAATAACCACTGATGATGGCAAAGCTTCATGCAGCCTCCATTTCTCCACCAAGGTCTCTACACACCCCTGTGCATTTTGTGCCTCTTTGCAATGAGATTGGTGGCAGCCTTCAATTAATTATCTCAGGTCTGGATGCTTCCTTGTTGCAGTGGTGTCGTGGGAGAAGAGCCCTGGTAGGTCATTTGGGAGATGCTGTGGTTGCAGTAAGCTTCCTCTCGTCTCATCCCTGGGCGTTGCTGCAGGATTTGAGAGAAACACATCAGTGCTTGATGTGCCTCCACTCCAGACCTGACTCAGGCAGATTGATTCTAAATGATTGCTTCAAGTCTATGGCAAGTGTTGGGGATGGTGGTATTGGGAGTACTATCATCATTTCAGGGTTTCTCAGTATAGCCAGTGTTTTGCCTCAATTATTCCCTAGATTAGGCTTGCCTGAATAATGGACCACAGGACCAGTCTATGGTTGGTTTTGGTTTTAACCTCAACATGGTTGTGGTTCAGATACCCCTGGCCCCCCACCCCTGTTCTCCATATGGCCTGAAGAGGAGGTTGAGACATCACACACCAAACATCCCCTGACCAATAGAACAATGACACATTACATTACATTACATTTTAGTCATTTAGCAGACGCTCTTATCCAGCGCGACTTACAGTTAGCACATACATTATTTTATCGAACCCACAACCCTGGCGTTGCAAACGCCATGCTCTACCAACTGAGACACAACCATAAGGCTTATGTTTTCCTGATGGTTGTGCCATTGTTTTATTGGTCAGGTGATGTTGAGGTTAAAACCAACCATGGACTGGTCCTGTGGTCCATTTACTCAGGCAAGCCTAATCTAGTGAAAAATCTAGGCGAAACACTGACTATACTGAGAAACCCTGAAATGACCAGCTCAAACTCTTGTCATTGTCTTGAAGCATGGGGATTACATGGGGGAGGGGAGATAAGACTGAATGAACGGCTTGCGATATCTGTAGTAGCCTCCTCTCACATAAGTAACTACTGTCGCGATTGGTCAACACCCTTGCACCCTCTCTCTCTCTCTGTCTCTCTTGCTCTCTCTCTGCTTCTCTCTCTACCACACTATCTATGTGCATCAACTACTGTAGAGAAAGAGAATGGAATGGCGAGAGAGGAGGAAAAATGTGACCATGTCTGTGAAGAAACAGGGAGAGTGAGAGGGGGAGGAAAAGATGATGAGCTTCTCACCATATACAGTATACACTGAGTGTACAAAACATTAGGAACACCTGCTTTTTCCATGACAGAGACTGACCAGGTGAATCCAGGTGAAAGCTATGATCCCTTGCTGATGTCGCCTGTTAAATCAACTTCAATCAGTGTAGATGAAGGGGAGGAGACAGGTTAAAGAATGATTTTTAAGCCTTGAGACAATTGAGAAATGGATTGTGTATGTGTGCCATTCAGAGGGTGAATGGGCAAGACAATAGATTTAAGTGCCTTTGAACAGGGTATGGTAGTAGGTGCCAGGCGCACCGGCTTGTGTCAAGAACTGCAACGCTGCTGGGTTTTTCAAGCTGAACTGTTTCCCGTGTGTATCAAGAATGGTCCACCACACAAAGGACATCCAGCCAACTTGACACAACTGTGGGAAGCATTGGAGTCAACACCTTGTAAAGTACATGCCCCAACTAATTGAGGCTGTTCTCAATATTAGGAAGGTGTTCCTAATGTTTGGAATACACAGTGTATACTGTATATATATTTATATATACAGTGAGGGAAAAAAGTATTTGATCCCCTGCTGATTTTGTACGTTTGCCCACTGACAAAGAAATGATCAGTCTATAATTTTAATGGTAGGTTTATTTGAACAGTGAGAGACAGAATAACAACAACAAAATCCAGAAAAACGCATGTCAAAAATGTTATAAATTGATTTGCATTTTAATGAGGGAAATAAGTATTTGACCCCTCTGCAAAACATTACTTAGTACTTGGTGGCAAAACCCTTGTTGGCAATCACAGAGGTCAGACGTTTCTTGTAGTTGGCCACCATATTTGCACACATCTCAGGAGGGATTTTGTCCCACTCCTCTTTGCAGATCTTCTCCAAGTCATTAAGGTTTCGAGGCTGACATTTGGCAACTCGAACCTTCAGCTCCCTCCACAGATTTTCTATGGGATTAAGGTCTGGAGACTGGCTAGGCCACTCCAGGACCTTAATGTGCTTCTTCTTGAGCCACTCCTTTGTTGCCTTGGCCGTGTGTTTTGGGTCATTGTCATGCTGGAATACCCATCCACAACCCATTTTCAATGCCCTGGCTGAGGGAAGGAGGTTCTCACCCAAGATTTGACGGTACATGGCCCCGTCCATTGTCCCTTTGATGCGGTGAAGCTGTCCTGTCCCCTTAGCAGAAAAACACCCCCAAAGCATAATGTTTGCACCTCCATGTTTGACGGTGGAGATGGTGTTCTTGGGGTCATAGGCAGCATTCCTCCTCCTCCAAACACGGTGAGTTGAGTTGATGCCAAAGAGCTCAATTTTGGTCTCATCTGACCACAACACTTTCACCCAGTTCTCCTCTGAATCATTCAGATGTTCATTGGCAAACTTCAGACGGGCATGTACAGTGAGGGAAAAAAGTATTTAGTCAGCCACCAATTGTGCAAGTTCTCCCACTTAAAAAGATGAGAGAGGCCTGTAATTTTCATCATAGGTACACGTCAACTATGACAGACAAAATGAGAATTTTTTTTCCAGAAAATCACATTGTAGGATTTTTTATGAATTTATTTGCAAATTATGGTGGAAAATAAGTATTTGGTCAATAACAAAAGTTTCTCAATACTTTGTTATATACCCTTTGTTGGCAATGACACAGGTCAAATGTTTTCTGTAAGTCTTCACAAGGTTTTCACACACTGTTGCTGGTATTTTGGCCCATTCCTCCATGCAGATCTCCTCTAGAGCAGTGATGTTTTGGGGCTGTCGCTGGGCAACACAGACTTTCAACTCCCTCCAAAGATTTTCTATGGGGTTGAGATCTGGAGACTGGCTAGGCCACTCCAGGACCTTGAAATGCTTCTTACGAAGCCACTCCTTCATTGCCCGGGCGGTGTGTTTGGGATCATTGTCATGCTGAAAGACCCAGCCACGTTTCATCTTCAATGCCCTTGCTGATGGAAGGAGGTTTTCACTCAAAATCTCACGATACATGGCCCCATTCATTCTTTCCTTTACACGGATCAGTCGTCCTGGTCCCTTTGCAGAAAAACAGCCCCAAAGCATGATGTTTCCACCCCCATGCTTCACAGTAGGTATGGTGTTCTTTGGATGCAACTCAGCATTCTTTGTCCTCCAAACACGAAGAGTTGAGTTTTTACCAAAAAGTTATATTTTGGTTTCATGTGACCATATGACATTCTCCCAGTCCTCTTCTGGATCATCCAAATGCACTCTAGCAAACTTCAGACGGGCCTGGAC